CGAGGCCAATGGCTATATCTAACTCCACCCTTCCACCAACTTGCAAAGTGTCTCCTCTCCACCCACATTTCCAGGAAAGACAACAAAAGGCACACTGCGATGGCGACTGGTTTCCTCATCGCACCGCCAAAGGGGCACACCTGGTGCCGCCTGACCAACGATAGTAGCACGCTTTATATTCAAGCCCTTAGTGGCAGCATCCGAAGATGTGATCCCCCCCTGAGAAGAAGGTTAGCACCAATAAACCCGTGAGAAAACAGTATAACAGTATATCATACCTTAGCAATAATAAACCGCGGCTGCACCTCAATCCGGCGCAAAACACCAACCAAAGCCTCAGCAACCACAGACCCAATCTTCAGCGACGACAACTCGTCACCACCAGTCACAAGCGCTCGACTCGTCATAACGAGCGTATCCATCCCAGCCCGCAGATGCGATTCCGTCTCCTGTACAACGCGCAGCACAGCCCGCGTCGCAGTCTCCGGCGACGCAATAAGTTCCTCAACCTTCATTTCAATGATCGCCAACTGACCCGACGTGCCGCGCCGATCCGTCAACACTTTCAGCTGCGCTGTGGTTTTAGGAACATATGACCCGGCAATGATAAGCCCGCCTGTCTGGCGCGGCGAGGGCAGGTGAAGCTCAGCAGCGGAGATAGGTGCTTTAGAACGGATGCCGAGTCTAGTTGAGACGAAGGCTGCACCTGTGCGGTACAGGAAGTGTTTGCCATTAGATTCGGCTGGATATGTGTTAGCCATCAAGTTTACATATTTAAAGGAGCAGAACGGAATGCCGACGGCATACCTAGTAGCAATCCCGCCACGAAGACATGCATGTCAGACTCCGCGGCTGCATTGACGATCACCACTCCACCAACTGGTGCAGCAAGGAGTTTCTTGCAGACAGCCTGCGGCCCGCCGGTGCGGATCTCTTCGATTGTAACAGAGCATAATTGGTCTGGATCGAACCGACCGGGCGCCTTTTCGAGGACGTAATCCCTCAGATTGGAACTCCTGTATCCGAACGTTGCGTCCTTGGCGAACTGTGTCGCGCCCGCCGGGACGAGGCTATCGCCTTCGGTGACATAGTGCACATCGTCGATGGTGAGCCTCCCACCCTGGAAGAAGAACGGGGCGAGAACAAGTGCATCTGCAGGTCCAAAGACTGACTGCGCGACGTCCGGTTCGAGGGGGAAGTGGCCGCGTAGAGTGCTATCGCCGCGGAGGACGATGTCGAAATTTTGGTTTGATGTTTTGGCGACTTGGGCGATGTTTGTGCATATCTCGTGGATGAGTGTTTCTGCTTCTTTTGGTGGGAGGGCGCGCGAGTTTGTGAGGATGAAGAAGCCTGGCTTTTTGGCTTGGAATTCGGCTGTTAGTGTTGGGATATCCCAGACTGTTAGAACGGAGATGTCGTGGCAGGTTTGTGTCCCGGTTGGGTCGTCGTCTAGTACCACTAGCCGGTTGATTGGGGCTGTGGTGAGAATTTGGGTGATTTGCTCTTGCGCGTTGGTAGGATACTTTGCGGGGAGGTTGGCGAGGGTGTTCTCGCAGGGGAGGACGGGGTGCTCGGGCTGCGACATGGTGAGGAATCGAGTTGTTTTTTTACTATTCTGTTATTTTTCAATTGAGTCTGGGTCCAAATGTTGTATCTAAAGAAGGTGAAGTGCTGGATATCAACAAGCGGGGGAGATGTGGGGAGATCTCGGAGACAAGGCCGAAAATGCATAGATTCGATGCAACTATGGACTAGATAGAATCAGACATTTTTTTCCTCACGGGAACAAGAAACACCATAAACGCCATTGGAGAGATGCAAGAATGAAGGGCGTTTGAATGCTTGCAAGCGTAGAAAGCCATGCAACGGTCATTATGCATATAGCCGATTTCAGAGTCCAGTATCCCCTCCCATATCCTTCCCATCCCATGCATCAAAGAAAGTAAACGAAGATGACAGGTCGTAGACTGCGTGATTGTTCGTAGGGGGTATTTAGCCCACCACACTGCGGAAACTCAATGCTTCAAGGAAGCCGCCAAGGTCATCCTTCTGCACCTCGACAACACAATGCTCGAAGCTGTCGATGCGCACACGGGCATTCGTCTCCTGGACTACCTCCTGGAAGGCAATCCCAAATCGGTTGCGGAGAAGGTGCTTCTTTCCACGCGGATCTTCCTCGTCCTCGGACTCCGATTCCGATGAGGACTCAGACTCTTCCGAGTCTTCGTCTTCGGCGCCAGTCTCCTCTTCTCGTTCGGCACGCTCTGCTGCTCGTTTGGACCGGCGCTCTGATCGCTCTTTCTGTTTCTTCTCCTTAAGTTCTTTCTTCTTCTTGCGTTCCTCCTGGCGTTTGGACATGGCGGCGAAGTCAACAACACCGCCGCCGCCACCAGTGCCGACAACTACATAGAGATCGCGGTCTTCATCGAGACCGGCAAGGACGAGAGGAGTTCCCGCTGCTCTCTTGCGACCGATCTTGACTGAGTCACCTCGCTCTTTCTCTTGAACTCGAATGGCCTCGGCAATCCACAAGGCCAATTTCGTCAAGGCCCCAGGGTTTGTGAAGAGTTTGACGTCGGGTCCATCCTTGACCACAGCAATACGGAATGCTCGAAGGTGACGGATTTGATGCTTAGAGAGCAAAGAGGTACCGGTGCGAAGGATAGCACGGTGTAAATGCTGGGCTAGAGGTAGAGCCTCTAGCAGAATAGTGGGCGATTCAGAGGTTAATGAAAGGGCGTCGTACGCACTCCAAAACCGAGGTAGCAGACTGGCCAAGTCAGATTCGCCTATGATTCCACTGTTCTCTGTATCATCGCGTGCTCGTGGCAGACGTTTGGAGTCCCAAGAAGCCAAAGTCTCATGTGGCCCAACTTCCAGCATTGCACCAACAATAACACCCACGTCTGTGGCAGAGAGGCACGCCTTCCAACCCCAGCAACGTACAAATCCCCAGCCCTCACGGGCACTCGCACTTCCAGATCCCTCCGATGGCACGAGTCCATCTAGGCCATACATAGGCGCATACTTAAGCAGCCGTGATCGTAGTACACGCTTTAATTCCATGTCCATGTGGGTATAGTATTGGTGACACTGGGTCAAACTAATTCCCATCTTGGCCAGAAGTTTGTGCAGTCGTTTGCGGCCATTCTCAGTCCAGACATGCAGTCGCGGTGCAAGGTAGGGGCTGTGGAGCATACTCTCGTATAATGACCAGTGCCGGACAAGAAGGAATCGCGGCTCGGGAGAAAGACGAATTGCTGTATCGGTGGGCGATCTAGCGGTTGTTGGAATGACACCGTTGATTTCTCCTCGGACGTCACGGTTTGATTCTAGAGGATCAGGCGGGTTCAAACGGTGGACTTCATCGCGAAGTATTTGGCGAATGTGTTCACCGCGTTGGCCGCCCCAGCCTGCTGAGCCTCCAGATTCTGATGTATTTGAAATACCCACTCCGGTCATTGTTCGACCACTGAGTTCCAGACTGGAGACACCGACAATAGCAAGCCACAGCAGGTCATTGTCATCTCGTCCAAGCTCAGATGCCAGGGAGTAGATCAGTGACGAAATTGGTTCGGAGTATGAGGTTCCAGACGAATAGTAGGATTGTAGAACAGAGTCGTGTCTTCGCTTGAGATTAATTAAACGTTTCTTTAATGACCGGGCTGACGGTTGCTTTGGCTCGGCTGGGGAGGGCGAGTCAGTTGTCGGTGTCGCGGATCGCGACGAGTTCGAAGAATTGATTTCAGTCTTTTTGCGGCGAGTCGGAGTTGAGGCGATAGAGGAGCCCTGTATCACGCGTTAGTCCATTGTCTGGTCATAGAAATGCTAACACCTACTGAATTGCTTCTCCTCCGTTGGTGGGGTGGCTCATCGCCTTCTGAATCCTCATCGTCTTCGCGACCTGACCAGGATTTGCGTTTTTTGGACCCTGTTTGCGTTTCGTCCTCAGATCCGTCGTCACTCACGTCATCGTCGTCGTCTACCTCTGGCATTTCCAATAACGCGTAGTATGCCTCTCGTTCGTTGCGAAGCTCTTCCTCAATGTCTCCGTCGTCATACACGATGATCCCACCATTCTTCGATGTGTAAGCGGAAGTGATGCACCCTTTGTCAACCCCGCATCCTCGCCGTCGCGCGTTGGCGTCGATTTCAGCCATGGGCTGGCCCATCCCTGCTAGTCCACCAAAGACGTTCCCCAGGTTCCACGGCCGTCGCGCGTCGAATACCCAGATCTCCACGCCTCCCATATCTTCCACCTCGTCCTCTGGATTGCTCAATGCCAGTATCTCGCCGAGATCGACCAAGCCACCTACACCGAGACAGACGACAACTCCTCCGCTGCCGCCATTGGTGGTCTGCATTGGGCGGACCAGCTCCTCCCCCGCACGCGACAGATCGCCATATCCTGCAACCGGTTGGATTTTATGAGGGATATAGTCGCGTTTTAACAAAGATGTGAGAATTCGACAGGCACATAGCGCGTCGGGCTCTAATGCCACGAGAATCAAGACTGGCGGAGAAAGTGGGTGGTGAGATCGGAGGAGTTGTAGGTAGAGATGTGAGATGAGCTGCCGAGGGAGATACATGGCCAGCTTTGGATTATCATATGCTCATGCGACAGCTCATGAAGAAAGGGAACTCGTAAGAATAAACCTAGAGATATGAGGTGGTTATTTGGTGTGAAGCCCTTGCAGCAAAGAGTCTCTCATAGCGCCGGGGAAGTGGACAAGCGCGACGCGTCGGGAGGCACGTGCCGGGATTCCATACCTCTTCATCACCTCGACGATACTTACTCCCCTTCTTTAGTTACTGCAATATTTCACTATTCGAATGTCTTACTCCTTAACTTGTTAAATTAAATCTGGATATAGATCTTCCAAACTATGGGTGGGTTCATCTTATTGCCCATCGCAAATTGGGTGCTTTACGCGAAATCTTTCATCTATACTCTAAATTGAGTCCTGCCACGCGCAAATCCTTGGTTCTAATCATATTTTCTACGGACCACGCAGTCTCTTGCAAAGCAAATCTTTGGCGATATCCTTGATATGCTGAGCGAGTTCAGGCCCCGAGCTGGCTTCCAGAATCACACCGTCACCTTTCTGCAACTTTGAATGGTAGTAGATCCACCGCAGAGAGGCTTCAGATTCTGAAATTTGGAGTCTTCCAATGTTCTCTCTGAAGTCCGCAATAACAGTCTGCATTTCTGGATTGTTGTACGTGCTAGTATACCAAATTCCCTCTGCATCACTGTTGCTCCTTTGAGCAGTCATGAAGCGAGAAAAAGCGCTACAGGCTGTTAGCCGGCTGGGCATCATACCGACTGGTGGGCGAAAGTATGTACTAACCTGCAAACATGAAAGGCGATTCCCTGCTGGCGAAGGAACGGGAAAGCTCTTCCGCTTCATGGGTAGCCATATTGTACCAGCCTTGCTAAATCGACGGCCGGACTAAACCTCTTTCTGAACAAACCAAGATGAAAGCCTTCAAGAGCCTTACCTGGAAGTTCCACAAGCCGAACTGTGGTGACATCAGTATCATTCATTGCTTGTTAAGTAATTGCTTACATACCTTGTCGAATCGACCCTCTGCATCTTGTACCTGCATTGCAGCGGCTTGTTGCCCCATCGTTGTGCTCTCATCTTAAAGATTTAAATAAAGCACATTGATTTTATTTGTTTGCAAGCGGTCAAGGCTCTTCTCAGGAGATTTTTGAATTGCAGGGCCTGCCAGTGTGCTCGCCCCTCTAGGAGCGGAGGATCTCTCGGTGGTCACATCAATTCTCGTATCGACATTAGCCCTGTTCCATTGCTTGCACTTCTCCCAGCCGTGCTTCAGAGTGGCCAGGTCTTGTATTGGGCCACGAGTGTGCCATGTCGATGCGGTCGATATGAAATTGCTTGAGTTGATCAGGTACTTTCTGAATCGAATAGCCACCGAACAGTGTTTCTGGTAAAGACGTGATGGCTAAGGCTGAGACGTGCTGAACATTGCTAGAGAGTTCAAGTAGGATCAAAATGAAAATGAGATGGATGATGCTAAGAGAGAAAATCTAGGTTGATATGCAATAGAATATCGGACAAATGGCTTCTCTGTTGTCTCACGATAGTCCTATGACCTTTGAATGCCAGAAAGGACGGTTGACATCTCATATGGCAAGAAGGCGCCTGGCTATGTATAAGTCAGAGACAACTACCTCTATGGGTAATAGGTAACAAAGAATGAAGCTGCGCAGTGCCTATCAGGCCAAACCCATGTGTTTCTGCATTGACATGGTGTTCAACCACCTTGGAATTCAACATCTGAAAGCATTTATCCTGATATGTAGCGCTACAGTCGGATTAAAACACCCTACCCGAGTGGACATATATAGAAACATTGCCATAATTTGATTACATCTTTAGCGAGTTGGTTACTTTGGTTACATATATCAAAAGCATAGTTGTTTCCCTGGAAGTGTTCAATCAGAGAATATCTTTGAAATTCAATAATCACAGAGGTAACGCCTTTCGCCATGAACATGCTATATTCTCCAAAACTATGCCAGTGAAGACATTATGACCATACATATATGAGTCCAGGAAAGAAATCAAAATTGCAGCCAAAGGAAGGAGACGTGGTGCTTTCCTGCGTAATATTAAACAGACGAGCGGCCTAAAATTGATCCAGCCACCCAGATAGCGGTGCATGCACCAACGACAGAGATGCCAACTAGCCGCTTGCCCCAGCTGCCGTCTTCCGCCATTTTGGTCGGTCCAACGGTATTCTTCAGTTTCAGATGCAAAGATGATGAAAGCAGGTCTTCGGTGACATTTCCAGCAGAATCACCTAGTATGGCTGAATATTCTTCGTCACGCTTTTGCCACTTCTCAACAAGTCGCGCAATCTCAGCCAAATCTTCCTTGAGAGAGCCAGGCTCAGTGGCGTTGGCATTCTCAACCTCCACGTTCTGGACATTACCGAAGAAGTCAACCACGGTCCGCAGGCGCCCTTCTTGCTCGCCTCCAGGGAACAAATCCCACCGCACACCCGGCTGAGAGTGGATCTTCGACTCGTCATAGGAATCGAACAGGTCTCCTAGATTGAGTTTGGAAGTGACACTTGTCACTTGTGTCTCGAGGAATTCAAGAACATAGTATGTCCAGCGATCAATGACAGCGACGCCGACATCGTTGTCTGCGTGGTGGGAATAGGAAGACTGATCGATCTCGCTAGAGCCTGTCGCCACGATGTTAGGCGAGTAGAAATGGGTGTACATCGTATTGGCCTGGCAAGTATCAATCATGAACAGTAGCTCATGATAGCGCTTCTTCTCCCACATCTGTCCAAACGCGTCCGCAAGATCCCATGCGCCGATCTCTTCGGCGTCCTGAAACTTTAGGAATTGGTCGCCTCCATGTCCGGTCATGTACACTAGTACATTGCTGCCGGCATCAGACCCTAAGCGTTTGCTGCGCGGCACGTCTTCGTCGAGGCGGTCGGTCAAGAGTCGGATGAAGTTCTCCACGGTCACTTCGTACCCCCTGTAATCCACTTCGATGTTGTCGCCGTATAGATCGACGGCACGGTCTGCGTTACTGTAAACGGTGCCCGGGAAAGCGTTTCGGGGGTTGCAAGCCATGTCATCGGGGAGCATGAGTATAATCTGTGAATCGGGAATGCCGAGCCGTTTGACGGTTCGGTATAGTGAGAGGACATTGGCGAGGTGGCGGTAGTTGAACCAGAAGCGAGAGGTAGATACAAGCACCGCCCAGTTAGAAGTGTGTTCAGCGGTAACTGCGCTGGTAAGGAGCAGCAAGGCGAACGCCTGTAGAAAGCGGAAGAGCAAAGCCATTGTGATGGACGATCAGGTCATAGTAGGGAGGAGGAACACAGCTTGTATCACTAGCCGGTAAATGTGAAATTGGCCACAAAGCATAAATCAAATCAAAGGCCACAGATATCGATCACAATAACCATATCAAGGCCATAGCACAAATGGCCGGAAGAAGACACAGCTTCAAGAAGCTGCCCAGGTCAGATAGGAGATTACAAATGTCGGGGAACATTTGATGCCACTTTCCTAAGGCATCCACACTGACGCATGGGCTATGGATAGCGTCACCGCCTTCGTCGGAGTCGGCATATTGGTCCCGCAGATCAGATCATGTAGTAGAAACTCGATTCCACCTTTTTCTTTTCACATCCATTCCTCACATTCTGTTCAGCGGTTAGTTTGGACATCATATCTCATCATGGCAGGCAAGAAAGGAGCAGGCGAGAACAGCAAGAAGGCCGCCGGAAACGCTCGTGTATGTTTTTTTTTTAAAAAAAATAAAAACCCCGCCCCCGCTATTATTGCCACATCCCTCAAGCATAAGATCATTTGAATAAAAGCTGACAGTGCTGTATAGAAAGCGGATGCCGCGGCATCAAAGAAGGCAGCTGAGGACCAGAAGAAGGCTGCAGATGAGGAAAAGCAATGGTCTAAGGGATCTAAGAGCAATGCTAAGAAGTAAATCAATCTCCCAAAGGAAGCATCTTCCCGACTGCCGAGCTAATCACCTTCAATCTACAGGGAAGACTCTGAATTGAAGAAAGCCGAAGCTGCCCGCAAGAAGGCCGAGCGCGATGCCCTACTCGCCGAAGAAGAAGCCTCTCAACCAGCCAAAGCCAAAGGCGCAAACGCCAAGACCGCACAAAAGAAGACTCGCGGCCTCGATCTTTCACAGTTGGACGATGCTCCTGCAGGCAGGAAGAAGGAATCTGCCCTCAGCGCCACTGGTATCGACAACGCCCTAGATGCCCTGTCTCTGGCTTCAAAGGACACATCCAAGATCGACCGACACCCCGAGCGCCGATTCAAGGCCGCATATGCCGCATTTGAGGAAAGACGCTTGCCAGAGATTGAGCAGGAAAACCCCGGTCTACGCCGAAACCAGCGTATGGATCTCTGCCGGAAGGAATTCGAGAAGAGCGAGGAGAACCCATTCAACCAGGTGCACGCTGCTGTCAATGCTACCAAGGAAGAGGTTGCTGCCCTTCGGGATAGCGAGCGCAAGAAGGTTGAGGGCAGACTGGGCGGCAAATAGATTAGTCTGTCGCTGGATCACAAGCATTCAGGTGCATAGACTATTGGGAAGCTGCGGACAATATCTCGATATTGTCGCACTGGCCATGGGTCCTAAGCCTCCATGCTCTCAAATACCCAACATGGATGGTGTTCTTAAGATTGTGAGCGTCTTATCTTGATTCGGAGTCATTTTTGCACGGTTCGGGAATACCAGCCGTTTTTGAGTCGTCGAGTCGCTACAGTCAAACAAAAGGCTCGAGCATAAAGCTCGGAGAATACACAACCATGACGCATCTGTTCTTACATCGCACCATGCATTGTGTTTTTCGGCATATAAATTTACGAAATACAATGACCAATATATCTTTCAAATTATGTTGTCTGCTCTGACGGCAGGCTGTCTGCCAACCTGACATATTAAACAAACACCTCTAGCAAGCTCCTACATATCATCATAGCTCCGTTGCGCCTGGAAAAATTGCCAAGTCTCTGGACCCTGCCAGAGCCATATATAATTGGTTGATATTCACATATCCTATAACATCGTCGCTCGCACATCCCACACATATAGACTCTCATCCCAGCCAACACTAGCACACCAACCCTCACTTCCAAACAGACACCAGTCCACACCCGTCACAAACTCAGTATGGTTACCCATGCGCCCTAGCTCTGCGCCAACCACTGGACCAGCGCGCATCATATCCATATCCCCGCCCGGGCCGGCGTCTGACCGGTCACTCCACACTCGGCAAGTCATATCGTAGCTCGCACTCAAAAGAACATTAGAAAGATGCGGCGACCAAGCCACTTTCCGCACTGCATATTCATGTCCGAGCATAGTAGCCAGCGGTCCTTGTTGCGGGGCCCGGATATCAAACGTCCGAATAGCACGATCAACACCCGCCGTAGCTAGAACAGTAGGACGGTACTTATTCCAGTCGTGGGTGAGAGCCTCAGCGGGTGGGGCAGGGCCACCCGGTTGGCCGGGGATTGCAGGCGCGGGGGGGCCGGCGTGGATGGGGATCTGGGTGACGAGGTGGTTGGAGGCGGAGGCCGGCGTGCGGAGATCGAAAACGCGCACATATGAGTCTGATGTCACGCATGAGATGACATCTGGGCTGTGCGGACAGAAGGATGCGGAGTAAGTGCAGCTGTGGGTTGGGAGGGTGAGGAGGGACTGCGGGCGATGTGGCGACCAGATGCGGACTGTGCCGTCCCAGCTGCTTGAGCAGAAGCGGTCTTTTGCGACTGGGTTCCAGCTTACGCTGAATACTTCCCGCGCGTGTTCTTTCCAGTTTGAGATTGGGAAGTCGTTCGCTGTGCAGTCGAATAGCTTGATGCTGCCGTCGCCTGATGCGGCGAGGACTTGGTTCTCGTGAAGTTCGGACCATGCGAGGTCATATAATGAGTCTTGTGTTGTGAACCTGGGAGTTGTGATAGCGCCAAACGGTTAGACTTCTGTTCTTATTTCCGACTCGGTTGCGCACTCCGTCGCGGGGGTTGCGAATATCCCACTTACCACTTTAGCGGTTGGATTCCATTCGCAGTCAGCTCCAAGATATACAGGCGGCCATTGCCAACTAGGCCAAAATTTGAAGAGCTTGCAACAGCTAGCCGATTGTCAAAGAATGGGGAGTATTTGACCGCGCAACCGTTATATCCTTGTGTGCGGTAATGGAGCATGATGGGCAACTGATCGACCCAGGTCGCTCGAGGGAGGAGGTAGGAAATAGAAAGAGAAAAAGGGAAGGAGATCTTCACGCAAGCTTGGGTATCAAAAAGACAAACGTCAATGGTTACGAAGATGTTAAGTTCGGATTCGGCGTATGATCTCGGGATTGCGGGGATCAAATGGGCCGAGGTCCTTCCTTGGCTTTCAGGCACGGCCTTTTCTATACTTTCACATTCACTTTTTGTTGATTTGTTACCTATATCTGCATTTCAATATTGAAACTAAATCAGTTTAATTGGCTCCTAGTTAATTTCTCTTCTTACATAGTGACTTTATCTCAAGCTTTTCTCTCGTTTTCCGTGGTCAACTTGCCAGCATATCCATCAATACATCGTATGTTTACATATACTAACGTATTTATGGACTTTATTTCTCAAATAGTGCTACTTAGATTGAATAAAAACAAGGTAAAGCTACTCTCCTAGATAGATGAATGGCTGGGATGGAGTATATTGTGGTGTTCGTGATCGTTGACGTCAACGGGCTATATCTACAACTGCATCCAGCCTTATTTGCAACAGTAATAAGGAACCATTCTAGACCCTCTAGGCCCTCAATTTTCCATTCAATAACATAGATTTAAGCCAATCATGTTAAATAGGTACAAGTTGAGCTACGCTAGAATAATTTGCCTCAGCCCCAGTAAAGTATGGGAATGACGCCATGATTGGCCTCTTCTGCAATCTGCTTCTTAGTCTGCTCGATTTAATTTTAGATTGAATTGAGACTCTTCTTACCAACCTATATGATAAATTCAAAGCAATATAATACCCAAATCGCACCCACATTGGGAGATGACAACTCAATGCCAGTACCAATGCACTATACATCCCCGGCCAGTGTATTCCTCGAAGAAGAAGTATACCGACTCGGCGCAGTTCCAGGGCTGAGATCCCTACCTCCAGGCCCAGAGCGTGACTTTCTCACCATGTCATGGGGACCCATCGTCTACCGCACCTCGTACGCCCCCGAAACCAAACGTCTCCTCCCCGTATTCCTGCGCTACGTCAACAATTCCATGCACCAGTCGTTGCGCCGGACGTTACCAGGCTCTGATGATGAAATCCAAATTCTCACAAATACATATTCTTGCAAGATTTTCAACTCGCTTGATATGTACGCCAATATGGACGAGGAAACGGTCCGACAAGTCTTTCATGATTTCAAGGTGTCGCTTGGGATACCTGAAATAGAGCTTCCGAGTAGACTACGCATATGCTTGATGTTAGATGACGAAGCGTTATCGCACTTGAAACATGTCTTAGATTCTTCCTCGATGATTGAGAGCGATGCAGATGTGGGTGGATGCTGGGTGAAAGTTATTGAGGAGAATTTCCCGGATTCGAGGATTGGTGATCACCCGCTTGCGAACCCCGATACGGAATGTGTATCTAGTTCTGTTGAAGATCGTGGGATTTATTCTGGGTGGACTATGGTGGCACTCGATGCATTAGTAGAGGTCTTTGATGGGCTTCGGCAGATGAAATGTTTGGTCGACTATCATCGGGAGGGAAAGGTATACTTGGGAGAGGGCAAATGGAGCCTTTAGTCTATATTTTTTGAATCGTTTCCCACACCCTTTTCACATATATTTCATAAAAATAGTCAGTCGCTTATACAGCCTCTGTCCTTGACCACATAATTCAATAATTTGATACGTTGTGATTGGATGATCTGTAAGGTATGTTGAAATTTGGGAACAGGTAGAAACAGCATGTGAAACTAAGGAGGATCCGCTTAATCCTCGAGGGGAGATCATAAGGAAAGGCTGATCTTGCGATATAATAGGAAGGAACTATAGAGACACCGATGGACACAAATTGGATGGGATTGCACGAGATCAATTTAAGCACAATACTATAGAGGTAGGAATATCGAAATATCAGTACTAGACAAATATCGTAAATTCTTTTGCAGCTGAGAGATATACAGGCTCCATCGACCGGAGAAAGACGTTCGTATATAATACTTAGAACGCTGTCTTCCAGATAAAGTATCGTGGTACGTTTTCTGATTCGGGGGATGAAAGATGGAATTAAAGGTATTCGGACCCTGCGTTTACTTTTCTTCGCTTGCTGGTTTCTCATTTTCTCTTTGTCATGAGCAAGAGGCAAATTCCAACTCTATATGCATGAGGCCTTTTAATAAAGTAAGTTTCTCACTGTTGTCATGGCGAGACAGTCTGCTAGGCAGTTTCCAAGACTCCATCTTTGAACTTCAGTATGATGGTTTTCGAAAGGTTTAGGTTCCAGCTTTGGTGGGAATAGATCGGGGTATCGCGCAGCTAAACTTGGTTTAAAAACAAAAATGTTAAAGAGAATGACAAGAGAGGAGTTTAAGTACCACAAACGTTATGCTCACGACCTCAAGAGTTATCCCATGTCTTCATGCATTTTTAGCTTTTTCAGGGCCGATATCCATTTTATCTATGGAGGCCAATACGGTTGGTCAATCAATGACGAGATCTCGTAATTTTCAAGAACATCCATTCATGTTATTGATATATGAGCTTATAGTTCGGTGTCCACTTGGTCGTTGGGTATGTATCTGGGAGTATTCTAGGGTGTCTATTTGTGGGCAAGGGATGCCTCAGAGTCGCAAGTTGCTAATTGCAGTGTTATGCATACGCCGTATATACGACATAACCTAGTATTAGTACTGGGAGGTGAAAATTAAATAGTCTCATTCCGTGGGCCTGCATCTATGAACCGGCAATATGATTGGTTACTTTGACAGCAATCATGTGCCGATAAGCATTTTATCCTGGGCTTATCAATCACCTCAAAACATCCCGAGCCCCATTCATCACTTTTCAAAGCTTCCAAAGAATGGATCTGAAACATGGATGCTTTCATATCCAGGAAGCGTCCACGGCTCTCGAATCCAAGCGAGGAGACCAAGCACAAATCACCAGATCCCTGTGAAGACTCAACTGATACCAAGCTAGCAATACTGCTATCTCTCTTCCCGACTATCAAACAGGATGAGTTATTGGACATACTCGTATCCTGTGAAGGGTCTGTGGAGAGTGTTGCGGGACTCCTCTCTGCAAAAGGCTCCACAGTGTGCACGCCCGTCAGGAAAAAGCGAGCTGATGTTACCTCCACACCTGGCATGCAGACATCTCTTTCATCACATGTTTTTACAACAGCTGAAGATGGGAGCATGAGACCTTTACATGAAATTGCGAGCAAGAAAAAGCTTCTGCCTCCACAAAAAGGCAAAACACTACACCTTTACTCGCCTGAGGATATTGCCACCTACACACCTTGTACTATCATCCACAACTTCCTACCAGCTAAAGAAGCAAACACACTTCTGCTTGAATTGCTTGATGAATCGAAACACTTTTCTCGGTATGACTTCCAAGTATTCAACCGCACCGTACAGAGTCCGCACACACACGCTGTGTACGTTTCTACACCCGAGGAACACCGACAACAGACCTTAGAATATACTTACGGTGGCACATATCGATCAAATGTACGCCAGGCAACACCGCAGCTACGGTCAGTGTCACGTCAAGTACAGAAAATCGTCAACGAGGAGATCAACAAACGAATTCGAGACGTCTACCCAGACGGGAAGAAGTTGCAATACCAGTCACCAAAGGAGTGGCGTCCCAACGCGGCGTTTGTCAACTGCTACGATGGGCCGACCGAAAGCGTGGGATATCACTCTGACGAACTCACCTATCTTGGACCACACCCGGTGATAGGAAGCTTAAGCTTGGGCGTGGCACGTGAATTCCGAGTCCGCCGGATAGTACCTCGAGACGACGACGAGACTGCGGAAGATTATGATACCAATAAGACTAGTCCAATTTCGAATTCTGCGCGGAAGCAGACTGTATCAGCCGCGCGCGCTGATGCCCAAGGTCAAATCTCAATCCATCTTCCGCACAATTCTCTCCTCATTATGCACGCAGAGATGCAAGAGGAGTGGAAACACTCTATTGCCCCCGCTCAAACCATTTCCCCACATCCGATCTCTGGGAACAGGCGTATCAATATCACCTATCGTTGGTATCGTGATACGTTACACCCACGCTACGCCCCACGTTGTAAGTGTGGCGAACACACGATTCTTCGGTGTGCACAACGCAAGCATGAGACACGAGGGAGATACATGTGGATGTGCTATGCTGGATTTGCACCAGGAAAGGAAGGGTGTTCATTTTTCCAGTGGGCCGAGTTTAATGATGATGGGGATCCGGTGTGGGGAAAGAAAGCCATCCAGGACATGGCCCCTACTTTAGCAAATTTCTCGGCATCTCAATAGGCCAGACTGCAAGGTGGAGACACGGAATCATCCCGCTTTTGAAAAGTACACATGTGACACCCCTGACCTGTGAAGCTCTGCAAAAGAATAAGGTTTGGAAACTGCGGCTATCGGAAAGCGGACCGACATTCCGCGAATCTCCACTTTAGGAGACCCATCCCATTTGGGCCAATTACATACCAGCCACTACTAGCCTCTCACCCGGCCTCGACTCTAACGCACGCGAACGGGCCAACCTCCAATCAATGTGTACAGAAGTAGGTAGGATTGCCCTAACCTACCCCTCAATATGCAATATGAAAAAATATTGGATGCGGAATGCCCCCTGCTCCACGCCGCTGTTTCAAATTTGCGGTGTAAAAGGCTGAGATCGAAATTCATGTCTTTTGTTGGTGATCTTTCATTTGCCATCTTTATGCAATCGTGATCTGTAATACACACTATGGCTTTTGGAATCAAGGATACCTATGACTATATTGTCTGCGGGTAAGATATCTATCCACGGAAGTCTATGATCTTGCTAACACTGAGGTAGAGGTGGAACCTCGGGTTGCGTGGTTGCGGGTCGACTAGCTGAAAACCCTGAAGTCAGCGTCTTGCTGCTGGAGGCTGGACAACACAATAAGGACTTGGAGAATGTTCATATGACCGGCGGGTGAGTTACAACGGCTTGTTGATGCATCCATTGTTACTGATTGGCCAGGTGGTCAAACAACTTCGATGCTGAGACCGACTGGAACTTCGTCACCCCTCCAATGGCGGGGGTTGATAACCGCCAAGTGAAGCTGAGCCGTGGCCGATTCCTTGGAGGATCCAGCGGGTGCAATGGCACGCTCTGCATTCGTGGCAACAAGCAGGACTATGATGACTGGGGACTAGATGGGTGGAGTGGAGAAGAGTTCTTCAAGTATATGAGAAAGGTAGGTGGCAGTGGCATGATTCCACGACACACCGGTATTGATACCAATACTCAACTAGATACTGACAGCATAAGTAGTCCGAGACCTTCCACCCAAAGGCATGGTTCCAGGCCGATAGAGAAAGCCACGGTCACTCCGGACCCCTTCACACAGAGCCGCACGATCTGGCACCCATCTCCCATCTCCTAATGGACTCCTATGTCTCGCAAGGCATGCCCTTGCATCACGACATGTTCAGCACTGGCGATGTTGCGCAAGGATGTGGCCATGTACCTCGCACGGTCTATCAAGGTCTACGGACAACAGGCGCAGATTTCGTAACTAACAAGAACCACCGTGGAAATATCACCATCAAGACCGATACCACTGTCGACAAAATCATCTTCAGCAAGCGGGCCAACGAGACCCGCGCTTCCGGCGTAGTCACGCAAACGTCAAATGGCGGCTCTACCATCTACTATGCTCGAAAAGAGATCATCATCTCCGCAGGCGCCTACTGCAGTCCCGCAATCCTCCTTCGATCTGGAATCGGCCCCAAGGCCGAGCTAGCACAGCACAATATTCCCTCTGTGGTCAATCTGCCGGGCGTGGGCAAAAACCTAATGGACCATCTCGTTAGTAATCCCTACATAACCATCAATACCAACACGAACTATCCTAACACTCACACCCTTTAGATCGTATTCATGTTCTACGAGACCGAAAAACAAGGCCTAACAAATGACCACCACGTATACCACGGCGACAACTTCGACCGAACCTACGCACAATGGAAAGAGAATAAAACCGGCTTCCTATCCACCTTCCCCTTCGGCAGCTTCGCCTTCGCGCGTCTCGACGACAGACTGAAAAACGAGCCACTCTGGAAAAGCGCACCCCGCAACCCAGGCCGTGACCCAATGGGCTTGACACCACAACAACCAAACATCGAGTTCTTCACCACAGAGTGCTACGGCGGTCCCAAGCAATACGACCAATTCCCGATTAACAACCAGCACGCGTTTTCGATGATTGCGGAGCTGTTTGCGCCGAAGTCTCGTGGCACGGTGGTTCTTGAGTCCGCGGATGCATCAGTAAACCCGATTGTTGATTGTAATTATCTGGCTGATCCGCTCGATTTGTTGGTTCTTAGTGAGGCTTGTCGATTTGGAAATGAGGTTGTTATGAAAGGTGCTGGGACTAAGGATATTGTTAAGGGGTCTTGGCCGCCGAATTTGAATCATCATACTTATAAATCGAGGGAGGAATGGGTTCCGTATGTGAAGCAGCATGCGACTACTTGTGAGTTGGGTTCGGAATTGCATTTAGATTGTGGTTGACTAACGCTTTTTTTTAATAGGCTACCATGCGGCGGGCACTTGTGCCATGGGGAAGAAAGATAATCCTATGGCTGTTCTCGATGAGAAATTGCAAGTCAGGGGTGTTTCGGGCCTGAGAGTTGCCGATTGCAGTGTCATGCCTACGTTGCATGGAGGGCATACCCAGATGCCGGCTTATGGCATTGGGGAGAAATGTGCGGATTTAATCAAAGAGACATGGCGGATGTCAGGCAATGTCTATCCTCACATATGATACTTTATGTCCATTGTGACGTTATTGTGGTTATGTATCTGCTTCATGTCTACGCTATACTCAGTTCCAGTACCGGATTGGAACACAAGGAAGAATTCCAATTCATCGGCCAAATAGCGAGTTGCATCCAATTGAACTTATACTTCAAGGATCAGAGAGGGCCTTCCTATAGAGGTACAAATATAAAGCATAACTCAAGTCTGTCAAGAGCAAATCCAGAACAAAGTCCGTAAGAATAGTGTGACAACTCCAAAAAGCAAATTCAGGCAGCTGATCTCAACTGAGTTCGCTTGCAGATCCCAAGCTGATACTGATAGCATCATCATCAAGTTCATACGACATTAGCGCGGAAACTTCGCGGTGGTCGTTAGAAGGACGGGGCGGCACACCCGGGGTGCGTGAGATGGTGCAATGAGTTTCCAAACAAACCGTATGCGGTTTCGGTAGTAAAGAGTGCTGGTGCTCGAGGCGGCCGCTTAGAATATGCTGGGCAGCTGGCTCAGAAGAATACGCTTTTAGAACACTGTTGATCTGCCTGATCAAGTCTTCGAGTACAGGATGTTCAGTCAATTGAGTTTCCTGATAAAACTCGATCGGCACACCAATTTTCACTTTCAAGACCCAGGTCTCCCCTGGTCGTAACCGCGCCAGGTGGCAGTCTTCCATTGCCGACTCAAACTGGCATCCGTGGCCCTGCTCAACGAACAGTTTCAAGTCCGATAGGGCCCCAGAGCTAAGGCCAGTACGAAGCTGCCGGACGACTTTGGAGACCTTTCGCATAAAATGAACTTCGCAGGATCGTGGATCATCTCCGTCGGCATCATAGAAAACGTGCCAGCCAAGTGGATGGTTCGCTGTGTCAAGGGGAAAACGAAGCTGGGGAGAGATCGTGTGGATACCAATAGCCGTGTCCACGCCAGATATAAACAGATTTTCTGGAGGACACGCAGAAATGAATACCAGATGACAAAACGCTGCTCTGGGAGACAGGTAGAAGAGTCGAGATGCCTGTCGAATAGAATTGCCCGCGTCGGGGGATCTTCTCGTTTTCTTCTTCGACTGACGGAGAGAAAATTCATTCAGAGCAGTTCTCAACGTCTCGAATGAGTGGAACCCCAACGGGAGCAATAGCTCGAACCCATTTCTAGAACTTCCGTCAACACATGCTATGGCTATCCTGTCACTGTTGATGAGCAAATTTGAAGTAAGCACAGAAGATGCCAGGACCATTGGTGTCAAGAGGCTAACAGAAGATTGCTGCCTGTTTCATGGTTAGCAAAACATGTTTTCTTTGACAAGTAGCCCGATGGAGTCAACTCACAAGCTGTCAAAAAGTATAATGATGTCAAGGGGTGCAAGGCTCGAGCTCTCGGGCAGTGAAATGGGCTCAACATCAGCAGATACATTTACCGACGCCCATACAGACATCGAACCTGTCCCCATGCACGGCCAGCCCGTGTAGGATCTCACGCTAGCAAACGCGACAGGTAGCTCGAGCGGACATAGTAATCTGGAAGACCCTGGGCGCAGCATGTTCGATATAGACCGGGCACTACCCACTCTGAATTTATGTTTTGAGATGGAATCTCCCTGTGGTTCCATTGCGCCGGAAGCCGAGGTTGACCTCGATGAAAGACATGGGTCTACAGAGCCATAAGACCCGGAGCTCCAGCGAACAAGAAGTTGTGGCGCTAATTGATACCCACTCCTGGTCATAAGTCCTTTTCGAGGATCAACACGGCATCGCGATGTCTTCGGCAAACAGTCAGCAAGAACAAAACTATTAACTCCATGGCAGGAATTACCTGGTCGGTAAATGGGTCTTCATTCACGTCAAAACCAGTCTTGCGGATACCTCGAGAAGCTGCAGCATGATCCTGACGAATTTTCACCACATCGATATTGTAAAGACTATCACTGAGAGACGGGGTTCTGGTTGATGCCGCAGGATCACTTGAATCATATTCCACGCTTGCAGAAAGGGATGAACGACGGGAAGGGATCTGTGGATATGACAAGCTCGAAGCAGAGCTAGATATCGAGTTGGTTCTATGTATGTGTGTAACGCATGGGGTGCGGCGTTTGAGCACAGTAATCGGCGTAGTTGGTGTGTCCTCCATGAGGCCGCGAGACCTAAACATGTTCACTGTTGGTGACAGGACGCTCGAACTCAATCCGAATATCCGCAGCCTCTGTCGCACGAGCAAAAGTCGAGTGGGAGGTGACGGGGCAGGCCTCCGAGTCCGATGGGATTTTGTTGCGTCTCTGCTGCTTCCAAAGACTGAAGCACGACAAACACGACAGGCACGATTCTTTGAGAGAATGAATGCTCCAGTAATTGGAACACGCAAGAGCGACCACAACAACGAAGATGAGAACAACGATAGGAACAAGGATCAATGCAATAATTAAAGCCGAGCTTTTGATATCATAGGATAACTTATAGGTCATTTTGGTCGAATATATTGATGTGAGGAGAGAATGGGGAAGTAAACAACATTGAAGCTATATGCTCCTGCCGCTTCCCAGATGACCGACGACTAAGACGGCAACGACGATGTTATTTCCATGGCTCTTGGGCGGGAGATCCATGGAACTCTCCACGGTTAAGTCGAAGAACATTCAAAAGAGGAAAAGTAACATTTTGGGGTATCATAATAGCACTTATATCCCGTTCTCTGCCATTGCAGCCATTTTCTCCTTGACCGAGTTCATGGTTGTGTCATCTAGACGCGAAAATCGAATCTAAAATGTGGTTAGCATAAGTCGAGAGTCGGCATCAAGGCCATACCATTTCATCCACACTCCCACGTGCAGCACCTCCAAACAGCATCGGCTCGGAATGAGAGTTTTCAATCTCATCTTTCACCCGCCTAGCCCAAATTCCATCCCAGTGCCAATCCCCCGGAAGCCGAGCCTGCGGGCTTCCTCGTTTCAGTTGTCCTCGAGGGCCTCCTCGACGATGTGCCTGCCATGCATGCCATGCTCCAGGGTTCCCTGCGACCTCAACCGGCAGCGAATCCAGAACCAATTCGTCATCAAATGTCGACCGAATGTAATCCAATATCTCTGACACTGGGACAACATCCCTTCGTTCCGCAAACTGTTCCATAGCAGGTGCCTTTGCCAAACGTGGCGCTTCTACATCGCCATCCTCACTAGCCGCTGATGTCACTGGAGGGTTTGACGTGTTCGATTCATCACCATCATCTGTAATCGGGTCGGCAGAGCTTTCATGCCCTGTTGATGCAGCACTTGCACTAGTACCGCTTACATTCCGTGATGTATTCCCAGATGCTAGTCCGCTCCGCTTTGCCCTACCAAACCAATGAGGAAATCCATGGCGCAGACTGAATCCGCCGGGCGGTAATCGTTCATCATCAGTTGCGCTAACGGGGTTGTCACTTGCCGAGCCAGTGCTAAAGGTATATGTAGTGAGAGGCACAATCAATGGGTGGAACAAGTCGGTCGCGAAAGTGACTAAAGGAGGAAGGTCGGGATAGGTGTCTGGGAAGCGAAGTTGGAATCGGAGGACGGCTGAAGCATAGGGTCCTGCAGACGGGAATGAGTCGAGGCATGAGTGCAGTGGATAATAAATTTGAATTCACCTGAACGAACAAAAATCACACCATTCCAGAGTGTTGGGTCCCCGGGCGCGAGACTCACATAAACCCCTGGCGGTGCTGCACGTCTCAAGCTCGCGCTGTAGGAGAGTCAGTACACGGACTGATCTGCACACGGTGAAGAGGCTCACAATTCCAGGTGGAGCTGCTGCTTCCGGAGTGAAGGTATGCAGGGCAACTTGGAGGTCGACATGTCTACTTGAACAGAGGAGGAAGTTGGGAAGATCTGGGGGTTGACGCCCAGCTTATCGATTGCTTATCGCCGATCTACATCCGAACTCAAAACATTGAACATTGCACGGCTTGGGAGTTTCAATTTTATTCATATGAGTCAAGACTTCGACAGTTTTTATTAACTTGAGTGGTGATGACTGGCCAATAAAACATGGACCTACGAGCACTATCTACGTGATCCTTTGCGGCTGAACATCTGGCATGTCACCAAGCTTATATAAATATATATTAAAGCCCTGAACTGGTTAGATAACTAGCATTGAGACCATCTGACACAATGTACACTCCCGCTTGCTTGTTTTCACTTCGCTAATTCATTATAAGCCACCGAAACGATCAATATGAAAACCATCGGAATCTCCATCCCAACCATTGAAGGTGGGGTCATCGCCCACCAAGAAATCGGACGAGAAGCAGCACGGCGGGGCATTGCCTACCCTCAAATTGTCACCCACACCCCTCTGTACGGAGACCTGGAACGAGCACTCAAATCAGGTGACAACCAGGCCCTGGCAGCATCGCTCGCTGCCTCGATCAACCGCACGGCCAAAGCTGGCGCGGAGTTTGCCATCATCAGTGCCAACACTCCACACATTGCTTTTGATGACATCGTGGCCCAGTCAAACATCCCTGTTCTCAGTATCCTTGAAGTCGCTGCAAATCACTGCAAAAAACAAGGCTACAAGAGGGTTGGTGTTCTAGGCACAAACTGGACCATCAAAAACGGTCTCTATGATGGACCGCTGCAAAAGAGGGACATGGCTGCGATCTATGTATCTGACACTGATCAGGAAATCGTCATGAATGCAATTGTGAACGAGTTGGTTAGTGGACTCTTACTGGAAAACACGACAAGCGAGTTGGTGCGCATTGCGAAGGAGCTTGCTACACGGTGCGATGGTATTATCCTTGGCTGTACCGAGTTGCCGCTTGTTCTGACGGAACAAAACTGTGGCATCGAAGTTGTCGATACTACACGGCTTCTCTCTCATGCGGCTCTCGATTTTGCGACTAAAGAGTGAGCAATACAGGTTTTTGCCTCTAACATTCCATCGACGTGGTACCCTGAACTCCGTGAATATGAATCATTGCTGTTAGTAGGACATGATCCAATCTAAACTATGTCTATGGTCGATCTACATACTCATTGGCTGGAAACTGAGTCTATCTAAATTCGCTTCTTTCCCCAAGAGACCCAAATGTACCATCCCCTCACCAACTCCCTCGTATATCCCTCCAGCTACACCTTCCATCCACCAAGCTGCGAAATTTGTGAGAGCAACGCCAACCCGCCCTTCATTGAACTTGCAAACAGCAGCTCCAATATTAACACTGCCTTTCCCTAACCCGTCAGCCGCCTCCAGTGTAGTAGTCACGATGCGCTCAGTAATGCGATGTGTCCGCTCATACTCATACAATTGACGCAATAGCACCTTTGCGTATGGTATAATGAAACGCAATAGAAGGAAGAGGTGCACAATTGTCGAGGCGAGAATTTTATGCAGATAGGATCTTGGCTGGCGCCTTATTTTATGATTCGCACCATCCATATACTCGGGCGGCGGGGGGTATGTTGTTAACCTAACTTTGACCGGCTCTGGGATATTGCGCTGAAGCATGGAAGTTTCCTCGGCAGTCAGATCAGGAGGCAAAGCATCGAGAAGATAGACCAGAGCGTTAACATAGAGGGATCTAGCCAGACGGCCATCCGGCTGCGGCTGCTGGGCTTCATAACCCGCATTGCGGAGAAGATTGAACGCTTCACAAAGTCAGTGAAAGTCATGCAATGAATACTTCATATAAGAATTTAGGGAGGACTCACCGGGTACGACTTGATTCCACCGCAGGCCAGACGCGGTCTCGTATTTCGTCGTGGATCTCATGTCCTCTCGGGGGGTATCTGATCCCACGGAGCTAGACTCGAAGGAATCCAAGTCATCGCTGGCTGTGGAAGGCCTTTGCAGCTCCGGTACTACTGACGCAGAGAAGTGGCTGTGACATAGCAGATGAGGTTCGGACGAAGATGTCAGTCCACGGCGTTGATCCCCACTTGACTCAGTGACCTTAGATACGGCCCGGGAAGAATATAGGCGGGGTAGTCGACGCCGAATGGATGCTGGGATGGGGAAAATAGCGAGTCCCGCGTACTCCATTGGCAGTGCGATGATCTGAGTTGAAGTTGAAAGCTAGCTATTTCCGAGATATATAAGTACTTGTAGGGGTTTGGGGCAAATTTTGAACTAGATGGCAAATGACAGAAACCAACAAAAATAGTTCAACAAAAATCTCCGGTTTCACATGTCAACACTTCCAACATCCCGATCTACTGACTGATAAGGAATCCGATAAGAAAATCCCCGATCTACCCGTGAAAGCCGATCTATTCCGTGCTGCCGATGACTTCATCGACTTCAAATTTATGAGGCCTTGAGGCGCCGGTTTTTATCATATCAACTCCTCTGATAGCTCAGCTGGAAGAGCGCAAGACTGTAATTGCCATGTTCTTCAGGGAACTTGTTATCTTGAGGTCCCTGGTTCGATCCCGGGTCAGAGGATTTTTTTGTTTCGAAGTCTTAGGAGACCTAAAAGGCGTCTTGTACTGGCAAGACTAGCAAGATTCATGGCTGTGCATAATGGGTGGTAGCCGTGGTCAAATCCCCAAAGCCGTCATATCGGCAACAGCTACGGCAGGAAGTATAGTCACTCCACCGTTACCTGCTTAACTGAGTCCGGACGTAATAGTCTCAGAATTACGCTGGGCATAATCTCGTACATGGGCGAATTCAGTGGTATCTAGTCCGCATTATTGTAGGATATTACGGTAGTCATCGAGCGTAGGAATGAGGCAGGAAGATTGCCAATTAGTTGCCCATCGCGGTTCGGACAACATATTTTTGATGTAGTATAGAGCGGACTCTTTAAGATGGTGGATCTAAAACCTGTATGCGAGCATTGAAAAGACTTTCATCCAAACACTTCACCTGCGATGTACATCGTAATCGAGTTATTGGGAGAGGGAATTCATCAAGATAGGTCTGTGTTATGGTATTTTAGACTTCAGAGCATGTAATTAGTTAGTTGATAATTAGCTAGCTCCGTGAAGCCCTTTTTTCGTCACACAATCCGCTCTCCATTCTCAGTTTTCCTAGTTATCATTTCATTAGAACTATTGATCTCCAAGACGTCAGATGTGATGTGCAGCTCGCCGATGCGCCTATAAGCAGCCATTCGAGATTATCCAATAAAAATAGAGGAAGGGCCACTCCACTCCTGATATTGCACTCCACTCCACGGATCCTAATAGCACTTTTTCGGCCCGGTTTCTTCAACAAATATCCGATATGGTGTAGTGGCTAACATCGCCGTCTCTCACACGGCAGCCGGGGGTTCGATTCCCCCTATCGGAGTCTGGCTTTTAACTTTTTTGTACTCGATCACATTATGATACACATGCAACAAGAATAGTAGGCTGCTTATGTCTTGTGACTTCTTGTGGTGTTCTTTTTAAATGCCTTTTTTTAAGTGCATGCATATACAAAGGCGGTAAAAAGCATACTCTGTACTTTTCTATGTATGACTTTTGATATCACCTTTCCTTTTCGTTGCGGCATTCATGTTTAGCCGAGTAATTTCGTCTGAGTGGCGAATTTCTATGGGCATAGAGAAATGAAAACCTTTTGCTCGGGAAGCACAGCAGTAACCAACAATATATATTCTTACTTACCACAACGGGATAGGGCGAGAGGCAAAGGAGAATAGAGTATAATGGTAGTGGTGTTGGTATGCTTAGCACGATTAGTAGGCAATGAAGGATTCGTACTTTTGTACATCGACAAAATTTTATATGCAGGACGAAACTTTATTTCGCTATGCACCTAACCAGCCTATAATCAATCATCTTTTTCTCTTTGTTTCTTGCGTGCTCAAAAAAATTTCAGTCCACAGGGACGCATTCAAAAATGAAACGATGATCTCCGATAGGGGGAATCGAACCCCCGGCTGCCGTGTGAGAGACGGCGATGTTAGCCACTACACCATATCGGACGGTTACGATGAATCACGCTTTTTAGTTTAGTTTGTCCACTTCTGGTTTAGCGCTCTTTGTCCTTATGCGTCCCCGTGCGTGGGTTCTACATAGTCCCTGCCATCGCGCCCTCGACTTCTCGCTGTGTATTGCCCGCCCGCTTTTCTTTTTCCCTCGTCTTCGTCCGTGCTATGCAGGCGAGGCATTTTTGCTATTGATCCAGACCACCGAGCTCCTGAACTCCACCACCCCCTTTTCCGTGAGACTCGTCGACTCTTCTGCGATCCCGCAATTGCAATCTGCCCTGCCCTCCCTCGTCCGGCCCTGTTTTCCCCTCAACTCTGATCATTGCGCTCGAGATGACGCCTTTTCCTCTGGTCCGCAGCACTTAATCTGCCGGTCCATCGTTGTCCTTTGCGCATGCAGGCGCATTCTCTCTACTCTTTCAGGACAGTCGTCCCTGTGCAGCGGGGCTGTACATATGGCCCGAGGCAGACTTGCCGCTCCAGAGTCTTGTCAACCTTGGCTGAGGGTGCTAGCCTCGTTTCGGAACCGAAGATGACCGGGATCAGATTGACTCGGCTGCGATTCGCGTCAGCCGGTACTTGCTCAATCAGCGCAGTTTTATGCGACTAACACAGACAGTTTTTATTTTTATCTTTTACAATGACCGCAATTGTGAATAGCCGTCATGTCGAGACTCCAAAACGGCCTTCGGATCTACAAAGCCGTGAGGTGATGCCGTTGGTCTGCGCATAAAGATCCATTCCCACGATCTAAACCAGTCTATCTTGCTGTCGATTCCAGAGATCCATGCTGTCCCGACTCGTATCATCAAGGCGCCTTGTGACCGAAATCCTCGTTGGCGTCACGACCATTGGCATAGAGGAAGAGATAGAAGGACAAGAACAAGTGCCTCTTCCACCGAGCCAGTCAACTGCGCTGAATTGCCCTCAGATTCGGAAATGAGGAGATCAACTAAATTACCTAGCAAACTACCATCGTTCCTTGGGCCTCCTTCCTTTGTATTGATTTGGCTTTCATTGCCATAGGTCAGAGTTGCAACTGGATTGATGTTACCAATCCATATCAATATACAACACAAGTCTAGATCAAGACGCGACATAGCCGCCCGCAAAGAGTCCCGTTGCCAGCCCAAAGAAAGGCTGCTCCGATTGAGGCTGCTTTGCGAAAGGAATACATTCGCTGACTCATACCGCGAAGCCAAAGGGCTCATGATAATCCGTAATAGAGGAACGTCTCCTTGAACGTCTTCTCTATTGATCCCTTCCTGAAAGCGAGGGATCAAAATACGGAAAATCTCTGGGTTGCAGAGTCCTGATGCCAGATGCAGAACGTTTTCACCACGATAATTTCGGTATCGAAGATGCGCTTCAATGCCATCCTGCCTTAGTAGGTATTCCACAATGTCAACATGATTTCCCAAAACAGCCTGCCCGATCGATTGATGCGTCGATTTGCCAAATGATGACTGTTTTTCTTCAAGTTGGTTTGCACGGAGCAATTCATTCCTGAGCTCCCCTTCACGCTGTACTATGGGCATACAGCCTACACCAGCAGCCAAGCACAAGAGCTCGTTTCCCCAATGTTCCTCAGTCATCTTCTCTGACACATTGTCGACGAGATCAAATACAATATCCCAGTTCTGCCGTTCTTTGTGCCATGGATTGGTGAAAAGTCGGCCTTCGTCCCATTTTTTGATGATAAGCTGGAAAAACTCATAATTTTGCAACTGCTGACCAGCCTGATCATCCAAGAACAGGATTTTGAGCCTTGCCACGCTCCCCCACCGAAGAATCTGATCAGCGGCCCTCATAGCTGACGCTGGAAGAAACTTATCGCCGTCGAAGTTGGACTTTTCAAGCAATTCATATAGCGTAGGCACTGAGCCGTACATCGAATTCAAAAGTAAGGTAAGCCCTACGGCCCGGGCACATGAACCCAGAACGATCTGAACGCTCGATCAAAAGGGCCAGACAGTGACGTTATTCGTTGCGATTTTATGCTTGGCAAATTCAGACTTGAGGACTTTTTTTGAGTTTTCTTTTCTTGATTGCTCCCAGAAGTAGTGACCAGCGATCCCAGGGTACCACCTTTTTTTTGCTTCCTCGCGCTACGTCTTGTATCTAGAGTCGACCATAACTTTTTTAATGTTGAATATTCATCTACGTATACGTGAGATCCTCACATCGTTCCCCGGAGCTATACAGTCCACTCCCGGGAGCTGTAGGTCTTCATGTGATCCTCACACGTATACGTAGATGAGGAAGGCATCTTTCAGAAAATCCCAAACCCCAACCGCGTTTTTGTGGTTACCTAACCGCACCGCAGCGGTCAGACCGCGGTTGGTGCCGAGCTCTACTTCAATATCCTGTATGCTTCATGTATAACCCTGACATTTGGAGGAACCATGATTCTTACTCCTGGGACCGATTACTTGCATTGCTGGGAACCTTACTATAAGTCCTCGAGTCTGATATGATCCTAGATCTCACTCGCGAGACTTAATTGGAACTTGGACGGACCTAAGGCCAGGTGGTGAGCTCGAATTACCAAATCACATTTCCCCAAACCATGACTATGGGGTTTTTCGTTCCATGACGGGACTGGCTCACACTTGAACGGTCCTGATTTTCTGTCAACGGTGTACATTTTACTAGAGTGATATCCGCGTGAGGTCGATGAAGTAGAGCTCTTCTTTTTCCCAAGTTCATGCGTTTGCTCGAATCGGTCTAACATTTCACTGCTCAAGCTTGATTAAAACTACAAATAGACTGTGATAATCGTCCGCAAACTTACTAGCAAGACGATTTTGATACTATGTTAAATCTGATCAGGTCGGTAAGGTGCATCGAATCATCTATTCCGTTTCCGGAGGTAGAATTTAGGTTTCTAAAATCGGGTTGAAAAAGCCAACTGATAGATTGTTAACTAAGGTGAAGTACAATATACGTAGATATCTAGTCGCTAGATAGTATAACTTTCAATAATAGAAAAATAGGTTTGGTTTATCAAGTCTCTTTAGAAGAACAGTTACACATGAAGATTTATATTAACTAGTGCCAGACAGGAAGATTAGACCGAGGGGTAAACAAGAGCCCCCAGCAAAAAAAGCAACTAGCGTGGAAATACCAAGAGTTGTCGCTTATTGATCATTCTGTCTAGCTCCCTAGCCACCTGGGCAAGTTCCTCCGCTTTATACTACTAACATTCGGCTAGAGCTATTATAATAGGGCGAGGTTAGTCCTTAGTTAGATAAGCTCGCCTGGTTTTGTAGGTAAATAGATCCAAATTTTCAGCATTCACCAGTCAATTTGTAAGCGAAATATTTGTACAAGTAAAGAAGGTAGTAGTTATATAGTTACTAGTCTGGCGTCGGACTTTCTACGATAAAGACCGGTTCTAATCGGTATCTCGATCACATCAACTTTAACGAGGGAAAGCTGAATCATCAGCGGCACCTGAGGTTCTCGTCCGAGTGCTGGGTATCACGAAATTTATAGGCATCGATAACGAAAGAAGTGTCCTCAAATCTCGGTCGTGCCATAATAACGATAAGGTTCGGTGTCCTACAATAAGCTCCGAATAGTCAAACAGAACGATTTTCCCTAGCCTTGCCCAGGTGGAGCCCTCCATGGCTGGAGCCTTGGAGATAGCACACGCTGAATAATATTTCATACATGGCCGTTAATGATACCTTTCTTTGTTTTCCGTTATATATTTGGATCGCTTTAATATAGCAACGGCTAGTTATAGTATGGTCATTGACTCATTGGCCTATGAGGGCGAGCGAGCATGTCATTCATATAATAGCCTCTAACTTACAAATTGCGTTGGATAGGGCGACTAGTGGAAGACAGATTTCACCTACATGCAGTCCTGTCGGAGGTTTGACGTCTAGAGTTGTAGGTAGGCGGAAAAATCAAGGTCCCTAAATGTGTAAATTTGGTTTGATTCGGCAACCATCCTGCGTAGTATTGTGGAGCAATCTGAGATGTTATGAAATCGCAAGATAGCAGTAATATCAAAAAGAAAAGTGTACATCGTCCGACCATCCACCTGGCATCTCCATCCGTCGCTCAATCATTGCCCAAAAGTCTCCCGCAAATTCATCAGAGGGCTCACTAATCCATAGACACCAGTCCTCCGGTGTTGGGCCGTGTGAGAATCCAATAATTCGAATAACAAAGGACCTCGATCCACCGAGAATGCGAAAATCGATACACCCCCCTTGGTCTTTCAGTATTAACTCTTCCCCCTCACCGAACTCTTTCAAGTTGACATCAGCATCTTGAAGATTCCGCAACAGCGCTCCGAGGGCTTTATTGGACCTTTTCACGAGTGAGCTTTCAGGCGGTTTAGAGAGCTGAAAATAACCATCTAAGAAAGCGTGCAGTAGCGGCTGAGGCCTACGACAATATGCCTAAGTGAAAATACCACGATTTGCCGGTTAAACATCACGCCAAACCATGGTCATTTCACCGTTACCTCCGTTTACACTATATCGGAGGGGGACTGCGAATTACTCTGTTAGGTTTATCTCGACCCTTTTAGTTTAGCGCTCTTTGTCCGTGTGCAGATCCTAGCATTAGCACCTTAGCGATTAGCTTGCATAGCAACCAGGACCTATCTCGCCCCTTCACTCTTATTCAACGGTATTCTTGTTCGAAGCAAAGGTGGGTGTCTCAGGCATCCAAACCTGGGGTCACATGGCTGCTTCTCTGCTTCTTCCCCCGCTCTCAGTTCCCTTCTCTTCTCTCTTCTCTCGTCCGCGCCAGTGTTGTCAGTGATCAGGCTAGGTAGACGCGTTCCAGTCTCCGATTCTCTGATCCTTCCTTCTCTCGGGTTTTGAGCTCGAGTCTTCTCTCAATTCTGCTCGGACCTGCTAGATAGCAGTCCTCACAATGAATGTATATGTATAATACGTCTGAGGTAAAGAATGGACTGACAACGCCCTCAAAAGGACAATTGCTATTGTTGTTAGTTAATAGGTCAAATGGACTTTTTCACCGATTTACTAGTGAACCTGCTTAAATAGTCTTGGAGGTATGCTGAGGTCTATAGATTTCATCTAGGTTATACTAGTCATGTTACGTGCCAGGTCGATCAATGAAGAAAGAGTGCATTCCAACGAGAATAACAAAGCTAGTAAGGAGAGAGAGAGAGAAGGAAAGAGAGAGCTGGCAGAGCATGGGGTTTAAATAGTAGAGCGCTCCCCCATGCTAGCAAACAATCAATCAATCAAACATCCCTCTTTCCTAATTAGGCATAGTAGCAATCTGTAGAACAAAGGAAAGAAAGCAAACGAATGTAAAGGTTGCAAACAAAGCAAACGAGCAAGCATGTGACAAAGGAAAGAATAAGAGAGCGTAATGCATGCATAACATGCAGATCGTGACAAGTCATTCAGAATAATCATAGAAACTCGCTCAGGCGCGAGCGAATGATCCAAAACTTTTTAGAAACAGGAAATTTTCCAAGCAATCTTAACAATCTATAGAGCTCTGCATTGTGATGAGCTTTCATTGATACCTAGGTCTATAGGAATCGATTTGTCGAGGGCAATGGAATACAAAGAGATATGTAGATCGAAATGTGTTAGGTATCCCATTGTAATGATTGTTGTTCATACCTAAGGGATTGCCTTCTAAGGTTATAGGGCTATCACCTATTAGCTATATTATAGTAGATTGAAATTTATCAATAATAGCGCATTATAATTAATAGCCTGGGATTCTGTAGACATTCAAATTAATCTATAGGCTAATTGAATGATTATATACTGTCTGAATAAGTAATTTCCTATTCAGCTCCCAAGCTTCAATCTATTCGGCATATAAGTAGTAGAAATATATATATCTATCTTCGTAGGTAGTTCCTTGAGTTAGTTTCGTTCACCTTACTTTTTTTTACCCCAAATCACTAATCGACAGTGAGGATCTTCAATATTGGGAGCCCTTGATGCTGAAAAGTTACTAACTCGGTATATTAGTCCAAAATGCCGACTGCGCTGTCCACAACTGGTGGCGGGGGGGACAACGGCCATAAGGGCCAAGGCAATCACGGGAAGGGCGCTTCCAAAAAGGTATCTAAGCCGGCAACAACTCATATATTATTGATGCTAACTCATAGTAGAAACGCAACCGGGGTCGCTGCGGTGTGTGCGGTGTGCGCGGCCACCGCACCCACGACCACTAGCGACATGCCCAAGGCAGCGCCAATGCCGGGCAAGGAGCCCCAGTCATCAACATCGCTGTAAGAAGCCCTTCTTTGACAAATTTAAACCCAGAAGACTCATAGTAACTGATGGAAATAGGGGTCGGTTTTCGGTGGGGTCGCGGGAGTGGGCTCCACGACCACCAATTTGGCCTAGGGCCGGGGCCGTGGCGGAGGCCAGAACCGAGGAGGGCGGGGCGGTAGGTGGGGAGGAGGAAGAGGAAGAGGACGAGGGGCCCTGTTGCCAAGGGCCAATACAGACCACCCCGGCCCGCTGGAACGGCTGGAGGCTGCATTTGCCCAACAGCAGGAGACCATTACTCGCCTCCAGCAGGAGAATGCCGAGCTGTCGCGCCTACGACTCCAAGAGGGGAGCGCAGAGCAGGTCAATGAGGAGCCGACTACTACTCTCTCTATCGCAGACGGCCTTGATGCCGAATTCGACATCAACATGTATCTCGACTCCGAGGCAGAGGAGATGACGAAGAGTCCCTCTTAGTAGATATATCAGGATGTTCGGATGGATCATCCTTTATTAGTACATATCTCCAGATTCTGTAGCTTCTTCTACTTTTACAATGATCAGAATCTATTCAGTATCTTAATATCCTTTCGCATATCGTAGTTCCTAACACGGGAATTGAAACTTCCATCTTCGGTGCAATTTCCGGTTTCTTTTTTTCCATTGATCTTCAATGTAAGTTCGATATAATGACCAGTCGGTTATTATACGCGGCCTTCTTGGTAAATGCGCACCGTAGGGCGAGGCATTAGTACGAAGTATCGATTGTAGATCTGGGACAAGTCCACCATTAAGTTCACGTAGACTGCGTCATCGAGCTCCTGGAAACTAGCGCCTGGAAACCGCACGCCTATCCCTCACTAGATAGATCAGAAGAAAGCTTCGGGAGATCAATTGCCTGGTCGGAATAGTCATTGGAAGATCTCACAAACAACGCCGTGGATTTGCCATTGGATACGCTTTCACACCTTCTGAAACGATGTTCATTCTGTCAGTTTATAAGTGCATCGAGGAATGCGGTCTCTTTCGGGGACAAGTGAGCTTCAGTGCTGTTTGTTTTCGAGTTGAAGTGCGTAGACTTGGGCAGGGGGCCGCAGGAAACGAGTGGATTTGTGGCTGGCCCCAATATCGGTTAGGTGAACGAATCGGTTATCCCTGAATTCGGTGCTGAGTATACTTATACAGTATAGAGAGGAATTGTCTTCATCAAACAAGTTGACTCACTAGTTGGTTCGTCGGAGAGATTGAAAGCCTGAAATCTGAAAATGCGAGGACTGAAGCACGAGGAGAGCCCTCCTGCCTTCCTAGTCAGCGTTTTCTCGCCTCCATCTCATCTTTCCCACACTTTAATCTCACTCTTCGCACTTCCAAAATTACCACCAACAGCATTCACCTACATCATAGGTAAGCAGATCCGCGTGCGTAAGACCGTCAACGAGGCTCTGCCTCCTCTACTAAAGACAGATTTCCACACGAATACCAATACCGTACACCGGCTTATTTACAACGGCGAATTGAATTATTGGCCAAATTTCTGCCAAGATGTACGAGCAACAACGGATAACCAACATTGGAGTAACAGGGTTATCGGATACACCCTGAATACCCGCGATCTTAATAATAATAAGGTTTTTGTCGGAGATGAGACAGGTGTACAGGGAAGGTTTCAACAGGCGATTGGTCAAACACTTGGAAAGGTGTTTGAAGCTCAAAGGCTTAATATCCAGTTTGCCGATTTCAAATGTCTTCCTAATCTAGGGAACAAAGTCCCTGATTGTGTTATGAAGACATCAAGAAATAAGTTGAAGCTTGTGGGTGAGTTGAAGGTGCCGTAGGTTATCCATCACCGTATCAAGGATCACCTAGAATTGAGGCCCTTCCGCCAAAAGTCTTATTTTCGAGTCTTAGTGGGCCAGGTTCTCAGATATATGAAAGAGTTGGGGTGTATGTATGGCTTTCTCTCGAATTATAAAGAAACTATCTTCCTCCGACAACGGCATAACGGTACGACATGGGTCGTAGATTGCTCCCCAGTGATTCTAGCCTCTAATGTCTACACCAAAGGATCTCCGACGGTAACCGTGAGAGAATGCTTTTTCTACATTGCGATCCTAGCGCGTCAACAAGGTAAGGTTGATAACCAACTACCTCGAAAAAGCTAGGTGGAATCAATATAATAGGACACGAGAAAACTCCGCTTCATTTATGGAGCTGTGAGTAAGCTCCCCTCTCCTACCAATATAGAGAGGTGCGGGTATCTCTGAAGACAAAACTCCTTATACGAGTGGATCCCTTTCCTTTGTCGAATGTGTGATCAAATGTCTAGAGGCCTTGACTTAGCACTTTATTCAGTCTCTAATGAATCTTATCAACCTACTCAAATTTCCTAGTTGCTTTTAACGTAATTGACTAGTTATCTGGAGTAGTCGTGAACTTAGGGAGTCGTCAACTCACCCTTGTAACTCCCTGAGTGTGCTCCAATTGTCTTTACGGGGTGGCGAAGTCGGATGACGGCCATAGTTTTGATGCAAGCTTCAAATGTAGTTATATATATACAGTTTGAATGATCTGCAAACTCTCTTCCAAACACAGATATTCTTAGCCGACTACGAAGGTTCAGAGCGGCCCTAGGATCAATGACTAATTTAGTGCCTAAAGATGCCTGAAGATGCTTGATCTTCTGCTGGCAGAAAATGAAAATATCTGAGAATAAAGCAGCTTACTGGGGGAGTATCAAGTGAATTTTGAATACGCGGGAACATAAATTCGGGAGATCGTTAAGAACTAGGTTGATCACGAAGCAGAATATTAGAAGACACTAGACTATTACTCGCACCTTCAAAAGAGAGGAGTTACTCCAATAAGGAGCTCGCCATGAGAGATACTCTACTCACACCTTAACAAAAGAGGGGAGTTTACCTTCGAGGACCACTGAAGCGGCACCTGGGTATTCTCCCTATCACCAATAAAAACCTGTATCACCACTCCCATTCATCAAGGTTCTCACAAACGCCGGACGCGGGTGGTTTGATCAAGCGGTAATAAGCCAGAATGCAATCCTCCCACTTTTCGTCAGTTAGATACGAACCGCGAAACCCCGAGATCCATAGATCGGCGGATTCTTTGTCCCATATAATCTTTGTGATATTCTCCCCTCCTAGACCCCAGCCAAAGGACGACATTTCCCTGATTTTGCGTTAGCATGATCTTAAGGACTTAACTCCGCACTTACTCATATGCAGCCCGGAACTTTCGGCGAACGAGATCACGTTTTGGTCGCTCGAATGACCAGAATAGCTCCGGAGTAAGGACCTGTCCGCGGACCTTTTCCCAAACAAGATAGGTTATGTATCCTCCAGGTACAGGTCCGTGTTCCCCTTGCACGGATTGGCCATATCCAAGTAGCGAAGGTACACTTTTGCATCCACCTTGTCTGAACTTCTTCCGAGCTTTAGCTTCCTGCTTTTCAAAATAAGGATTTGCCTGTTGGGCTCGAACTTCCGGCAGAAGGAATTCTGTTTCCTTATCAGGACCTTGACAGTAGACTCTTATAAAGGCTTGATTATATGGAAAATGGTGATTGTGACATAGATACTTAGCCTCCCAACCGGATGGTTGTTCGTCGGGATCAGAAGTAGGCTCACGCACTCCATCGACTCTATTCTCATAAAGCTTCTCGTCGATCACCCATGTACTCGCGTTCAGCCGGAGAGTTGCAGAGCCAGGAAGGGCGATCTGAGTGCCTTTGAAAATCTGAGAGATATCAGTCATCTTGAAGGTTGCGAGGATAAAAAGGGAAGAGAGTTCTGAGAGAATAGAAGAGGAAAAGAAGGGAAAGTTCTGAAAGAAATGAAGGGAGATGGACTTTGTGGGCCAAATGGTCATTTGGTGGTCATTGGTTTCCACCGTGATACACTATGGTGCCTGAGGCAACACCTCACTGTGAAATACGACTTGCTACTGGCCAATTAGGTGATGTCGAAGACTCTGGTTTTTATTACCTATTTCTGGCAATTCATATATAGGCGTAATTACTTGCTGGATAATAAACAAACACAACAAACATAATAGTGGGCCTGCTTTCTCAGACTTCCGACACTCACTACGAAGGGGTATAGGGGGGCATGCATAGCGTCTAGCTCGTTTTGGCCTGATTCCGGCCTGATTGGTGCCTTGGTGCCTAAATATTTGCCGGCAGAGGAAAAAGAATGCCTGAATTACCATTATACAATCTAGTTATTCTATTTCTCTTCCCTCTTTTCGCCCACAAACTCATTTCGGCCTCAATTTCACAAAGTTAGACTCCATTCTACCTAAATCGCCGTCGCCGTTCCTGAATCTGACCCTCAGATCGTTGCGCCCATCACCGCGATGCCCAACGTCATGTTTACTATCTTCGCCGCCATGATCTGAAATCAGAAGTTGAAAAAGCTTCCAAGGGCAGAGAAAGGCGTTTCAGGCAGTTGGCGAGGGTCAAATATGATGGAAGAGGCTAGAAAAAGGGCGTTTCAGACGGTCGGCGAAGGTCAAAACTGATGGACTGGTTGCTCTGATTGCGATGGAGCAAAGTCAACGCTTAAGAATGTGGGGATGTGGATCTTTGTGGGTCGGGAATAGCTTCAATACTTTGTATGTACACCATTCTGGAATGATCAACAATATAGCTTCTCTTAAAGTATAATGCGTAACCCGGGTTCACGGCAAGGTATGAGGTTCTGGAGTGTATGGAGCAGGGTCCCCGGTTGTTGACGAACACGTCTCCCACGAGTCCGTAGGTGCTGGAGCGCAGTTCGCGCCCAACATGTAGGCTGGTCCTCGTCATCTCCGACTAATGAGGCCGGGTATGTGCTGGGCGATGGCTCCAGTTGGCTTCCTTTCCGTAGTAGCGAAAGAGATTCTTTGCGGTCTGGCTGGTGGAGTGAGGGACTAGACGCGAGGGGAGATGGTGAAGAAAGGTGTTATATGTGTAGAGGAGTAAAACCTCAGCAACCTGAATCATTTCAGAACTTCCTTCACATTTCCTATCTGCCCCTCCTATTTCCCGGCATCCTTCACCACTTTATCTCCAGCCTTTCATACATTGACCGTTGATTCCGTCTTCATCAACTCCTCACCGTATGATCACCATCACCGTTGATCCCCAATCTTCGGCTATCCTCCTCCAAGCACCATTGATTCCCGTCTTTGGCTGTCCTCCCACAAGCATGTCGACATCAACGCCGCCCCTGACTCAAAACCCAACCCATTGCGATCAGGCATTAGCACCTGAGGATAATTCATAGTGAGTATCCCTCCAGATCACCCTCGATATACTGTTCAATGACTAATATGATACAAGTTCCCCTGCTGAAGAGACCGGACATCACTCTATCGGCGCCCCGCTAAAGGTCCCGAGTACCGATGCCGGAGGAGACCTCCTGGCGCCTAGCCCATGGGCAACATACAAAAAGCGGCTTCCCTGGAAGGTGGCAGGACATGGCAATTTATTAAAACCGACGCTATCAAAGTCCTGCTGAAGGCAGACTCTCGCCACGAGCCCATGCAACGTTCCACGAACCATAGTACGGGTAAAAGACTGGATGAGAGGATCGGCTCTCAAGCCGCAAACGTTGAGTCGGCTTTGATACAGATAGTCGGAACCGTTTCTCCCCAAGAATACGAGTCCTGTCTGAAGAATGAAGGACCATGGGGTCACCCACTATACCCAGCATATCTAGCATACCCAGCACCATACTCAGCACCATACCCAGCAAGCTGCTCTCGCCGGAGAGCTCCAAATCGACGAATTCCATCGATATGACCCCCCGGACCATACCCAGCACCATACCCAGCACTGTACCCAATCAGTCGATTTCGCAGCATTTGACTAATCTGCCTCTATTTCCCAATCTGGACGTGATTAATCAGCATGGGCTGCTGGGTATGGGGCTGCTAGACGGGGAAACCTCCCGAAGAACCGGTTCTTGCTTAGTCAGCACGACAAAGTGCCCAGGTGACTACCTAGGTAAATACGGACATTTTCTTTCACGATGGGAACCACACAACATGGGACAAACAGACCTCTCCCTGGACCATGTATGGGTTTCATGCGAGGTGGCAAGGAATGTGTGGGCGGCGGCAACGGAAATCTGGGACTATTTGGGATCGAATGTGGACCTCCGCAACTCCAGAAACCTCGATCGCGTATGCCTCGTATGACCCCGGAGACTCCCGAGACCCCCGCGCCCTCCACCACACCCAAGAAGAAGAAGAAGAAGAAGAAGAAGAAGAAGAAGAAGAGGCTGCGCTCCGCAAAATTGGCCAACCTCAGTACCTTGGCGCGCAACGCCGCCCACGGAATGAAAGAGGGCTTGGCAACTCCGCCGCCGGGTGGGGTGGCTGGCTTGGTATGCTGAGGTGATACCGAGGCGACGGCGTTCCTCTGTTGTTTTATACTTTTCTTTTCTCCGAGAACCTTAGGACTAATTCGAGCCCCTCTCACCTTTAAGGCTAAGGTTTTGTTTAAGTTTTTAAGGTTTCATATAGCCGTACAGCTTCAAATTTAGCGAAGGCGTGTAAGTATACCAGTCTTTTCCAAGCAAATGACTGGGTTCTCGCTCCACAATTTCGCATATTTAGGCTTATAATAGTTTCCGACCCCTGGCCAGGATACACCTACACAGATCTTGTAGAAATATCGAATTTAAATTCACATTTCAAATAAAGTCAGGTTCTACCAGAGATCTAGGTAACTAGTGGGGGTGTACGATTACTTGACCACTGCCAGCCAAAATATTAATAAAAATCAATGCGTAGTGAAAGTCCAAATTTGGCAATCAATTAATTATCGCCTATGATAAATCCGCCAGGCTTATAATAGACATGCAGCAACAATCACACGCTAAACCCAGTTGGTACTATGGCACTAGCCCTAATTACATCTATAAGACCGCCTATACGGAATCACCACGATTATCCCCCCAAATACCACGCAAAACCTTGGTCTTTCCGCTGTCCCCCTGGATTACACCATATCGGACTGTTGGAATTTCTAAGTGGAATTTGAAAATATAAGCCAAGTCTAGTGGTGTGGCTGATTTCGATCTATCTCTAGATCATAGCTTCGATTTCTACTTCAGTCTTGTGCTTCTTTCCACGCATCTGCACCCCTCCAACGAGGCATTTTTGCCATTGATCCGGAACACCGAGCTCCGCCACCCCTCGTTATTTCTTATACGACTTGTCAAGTCCACAATCCCTCGAGCGCAATCTGCGTTGCCTTCGTTCGCTTGGCCCCGGTTTCTCTACTACTGTGAATCTAGATGCATTCGCCCTATGCTATTCTTGGATAATCGCCTTTTCGTGGCGGACCTCCTGCCTTGGGGATGCAAAGTCTGGATGAGGCCTTGCGACCTTGGCCGATGGCGCTTGTGTCATTTTGGAACTGCGGAAGACCGGGACCGGACTGCTCATCTTATCTTGACTAGCCAGACAGTCTCGGCTGCTTTCGCATCAGCTAGTAGTTGCTAAGCTCGCGAGTTTTTACAAGAGCAACACAGTGATAGATGTTCTTTTGTGATGTCCGCAAGATTCCACGAGGACTATGTCAAGACTCCAGAGCGGCCCCCGGATCCGAAAAGCTGCCAGGAGACTTCGTTGATCGCGCGCAACATCTACTTATTCGACCTTCGCCACCTTTTTTGCGCGGTCATCCGCCTCGATCTACGTAGTGCCGACCCCTGTCACCAAAGGCGTCTTGTTACCAAAAGGGGTTCAGGGAATTGTTGATAGTCATAAGACCCGCGTTGCTGCTCGGCTATATGGATGCAAACTCGAGATATCGGGTACTCGATTCTATTTCAGGGAGCAATATAGTATTTCGATGAAGATATACAGCAAAGCATGGCGCTTACGACAATGGAGAATCAAATCGGTACTATGTTGTAATAGTTAGATAGGATTCCAGTGCGATGTATTTGATCCAGACCGTTGGTGGCATGGTTTTGCGTCTGTCTAAGCCATTCGTTCTCCCAGACGCGTGAACAACTCTACCTCCATCCTGTGTCCAGCATCTGGCTGCTCGAGGATCTGGCCTACATCATCGCTTCCAAGGTCATCTTCCCACACGGCCTGAATATCGGCGTTGGCCTTCAAATTTCGATACACGCACATCCTTAGATGCCAACGCAGGAGATGTGCACAGACTCGGTTTCTTGGGTCGGTACCATGTCTGGCAGAGTCCTTGGGGCATTTCCCTCCGAGTTTTGCCGTGTCTCCCCGAAAGATGATTATTTTGTAGCCTGCCTATGTTTGTGAAATATCAGTTTCGATGCAGAAAAATGCGTATGCCACAATTTCAAGAGAAGCTTAGCTTACATCCGGGTCGATCCCTAGTTTGAAATCATCGAAATAACTATGAACAGTCTTATTAAGAAGAAGCCCATTTTGCAGAGAATAGAGGCCACTCTCTCCGATTTCACTCGAAGGGCTGTCGTCGGTAATCCAGTTACCTTTGTAGTTATTTCTGTTCCACTCCTGGATCATGCTTGTAGGAAAGATATGGCTGGCTTCCATCGTCTGAAATGGGTCTTGTGCATCGGGGATCAATGGGGGTCCAGAAATTACACAATGAGTGTCTCTTGTCCGAAGGCCATCCCGGAACTTTTTCTGCTGTAGAAATGATTAGCCACAAGAAATACATATGCCTTTCTTGCTATTTCCAAGCCAATGTACCAGTCGGTCTCTTTCGTTCTGTCCTGCCGATTCAGTGCGGTAGTCTCGACTGCGAACACGGCGTGGGGCGGTCTGAGTGGTGAGCTGAACGGTGATCGGTTGCCCTCCTGTACAGTTTTAGAAACTGATAGAAAATGAGGAGTGCACAGAGTAGGGGGGACGAGTCGACATATGCCGTTGGCGACTGTCTGCTAGCATGACGCAGCTGCCATCAGAAACGCCAGCATTCACGGACGTTCCAACGCTTACCCACCTTTATCAAGGACAATATAGTTGCCCGGTGAAATGGGGACTCGAGCTTGAACACGGAGCGCCTGGCCATGGACTCCATTTGCATGCAGGTAAAATATCGACCACTCTGACTGGTTCTGGAAGATGAATATCATGCTACAGTAGCGATACAACATCTCGGAAGTATGGTATCTGTCGCTTGAGTCTGGACTGACCCGAAAGGCTGTCGATGTAACATTAATGGCTGGCGTTCTCGCATTCTCTAGTCTCGTTTGCATAGTGAGATTTGCTTACCTGCCAGCAGGGCTCCATCATTGTCGTAAATCCGGACGTTGTGATCGGGGTCGCGTGGATCTTCAAGGATACGTGCCGCCATCGTGGCAAGATAGACAAGAGAAAAGGGAAGAACACAAGAGTTGGTTAGAGTAAGAAGATGCGAATTGCAAGATAATACAGGGGCGAGAAGATGATGGGGAGTGAAGACACGGAGAAAGGGGAGGGGGAGGTGGTGGGTGCCGAAGAAGGTCTGAATGAACGTTTTGCAAGTCAAACTTAGGAGATGGACGGTCAAATGTTGAGCAACAAAAAGAGTGGCTGACTCTAACGAGCTCATCACCATAGTAGGCCAGCGAGGCAAACATAATCAAAATTTTGCTATGACGCATGATAACCGTCAGCTCTTCGTGGGTTCAGCATAAGGCCCTTTGGGGCCCGCGCTCCTACGCGGCGTCTAGTTTGTAATTGTCGATTATAATCATGGGTAAACATCTATATAATTAAGTAGCTATATTATGTAGACTTACTATACCGATCTTGGTACCCTTTGATGTTGATGGCGGTGAAAGATTAGGCGCCCACGCCCACCCACCGCACCGGGTGTTGATAACTCAGTTTCGTGGTCCTATTCCTCTTTTTCGATCCTGTCTACTTCCTGCACTCGGCAGGCTACGACCGTCATCAGTTATAGTACTTATGGTCACCATTAGGTGTATATACTACAACTCTCCCTTTCTAATACGGAACCCTCTCTACAGGACGCAAATTTCCTCCCTTCCACGTATTCCAATCTCCAGTCCCCTTTCGATGCCAGCATTTCCAAGTACCACAACGCAAGTAACATAGTCAATTGGTTCTCGCTATATTGTTTATAAGCCCCCTATTAAATAGGATCCGCTATTCTAGATGACTATCACCATCAAGTCGCCGAATCAGAATAAGCTCTTTGTCGGTAGTTACGAATCTATATCGGGTCTCGTCTCGTTTAGCTTTCACCACTTCGCATAAAATAAGGCATTTCTCCTTATTCAAATATACCGACCTATATGCGGAGTTTTCATCGCCTTGTCGGTCAATCGGTCGGTAGATTGTCGAAATCCCGCCTACTTCGATGTATCCATGTGGGAAAAATACAGCCTATTTTACCACTAGACCATAACAAAAACCTCGGTTCCTGTTTAGGGCCTAGGGGGGGCCATATCCCAGTCTGACAATCCACCCTACGATGTTCTACAACGGGACAATCATGCGCTAAACCTAGTGAGACATATAGTACTAGTCCTAATTAGATCTATAAAACCGCCTACACGGAATCACCACGATCTTCTCCCACAACACCACGTACAACCGTGGTTTTTCCGCTGTCCCTCTGGATTACACCATATCGGATATTTGTTGAAGAGCGAATTACTCTCTTAGGTTTAGTCTTAACCGCTTAGGTTTAGCGCTCTTTTCAATCCGTGCGTAGTTCTATAAAGTCCCCTTCCATCCAACAACCCCGATTTTCTTTTTCGCCTTCCTTTCTCCTACACTTTGCAGGTGAGGCATCTTTGCCATTGGCCCGGATCACCGAGCTCCTGAGCACCGCCACCCCCTTTTCCCCGTATGACTCGTCGGCTCTTCTACGACCCCGCAACTGCAACCTGAGCTGCCCTCCCTCGTCCGGCCCTCGCCAGATATCAATCAGCCAGCCTATATTTGACCTCTGCGCATGCAGGCGAATTTGCCCTACACTCTTTCAGGAAAATCAATCCTGTACAGCGGGGCTGCAAATCTGCCTTACGGCCGACACACCGCGCGAAAACCTTGTCGACCTTGTCCCAGGATTGATGCCGTACGGAATACACGGAGACCTGCAGACCGATATAGCAATTCTCTATGCAGCAACATTGGGTGCGGCAACCTCTCGGTATAGGTATGTTCTTAGAGTCTCAGTTCCAACTTCAGCCCAGACCAGGTACAGCGAGACTGCTTCCTTTCCAAGGACTAGTTGGATATAGAATGCTTGGAGCTGTGTCTTTTGCTTCCGAATAGGGTGTTTTTGATGCCGCATAATGGGGAGCTGGCTGAGATTACTAGCACCTGGCTATCTTATGGGTGATCTGTTTCGAAGGGACAAGATCTCTCTTCTTTTCGTGTATATACCGTGACTAGATCCCCATTGAAATCAAGCGCACTTGCTGCTAGATTAGGGGGATGATGTAAAAAGAAAATGAGGAAGAAATCCTATATGTCCTACAATGTCGTACATCTAAGTGTCTTTCGATCTTCCTTTCCCGAGGATTGATAGTTTCCTCTGAGCGCCCTCTGGTAGAACCTGACTTTATTTGAAATGTGAGTTTGTATTAGACATTTCTACAAGATCTGTGATATTACAAGCCTGAATATCGATATTGTGGAGTAAAACCCCAGTCAATTATTTTGAAAGGACTGGTATACTTACACGCCGTCGCCAAATTCGAAGCTGTACGTCTATATGAAACCTAAAAGGCTTAAACAAAACCTTATCCCTAAAGGTGAAAGGGGCTCGGAATAGTCCCAAGGTTTGGGAGGGAAGCTACCTAGGTAGAGATCCATTCCTTATTAGGCTGCGGCGAGGGATATACGTATCAATGATGCCCAGGCAGATATATCTTTCTACTATTTCAAACCTTGATCCTAAATTATATTCAATATTCCTGTTTCCTACCTTATACTAAAGTTCACTATACGAGAATCGTTTCATTATCTCAAAGGAATGTCCGAACTACTTGGAATGTCCGAACTACTTGGAAGTCAAGAATTGAAGCCAGTCTCCGACTGCCACCCTTCTCTCCATTACCACTTGTGCGAGCCGAACCCAGATATACTCACCTCTGTCATCGAGAACGAGCGTACTCGCCGTTTAGTACTGCAGCAGTGTGAGAAGATAGAGACAGAGCTTGATGACTTAACAGAGAATCACCCTATGTACGACGACGACAGCGATATCCTGCTAAGAATCGACTACCTTGAAAAGTTGTCTTTGTTTCTAAAAGAGGAGTTACAGTTAATTGGAAAGTCGATAAAGGGCCTAAAAGAACGCATTGAAAACCCCGAAATCTATATCGCTATGGGAAGACTCTCCGACAGTGAGTTCAACCGAGCTTATGCTTCTTTAAAGCAGAATCCCACCCGCCAGATGCGAAAAGAGCTAGCCCAGAACTCTCAGGATTGCGATGACTACTTTTGCTCTTCTAAGCGGTTACTTGAGTCCTCAAAGGTGGATAACATGAATGACAAACTTGGCCCAAGCCCTCCATCCTATAACACGGCGGCTAGTGTTCGGAAAGCGAGTGATAATGCTCCCTCAAAGCCGTCTCGGAGCTTTTGGAAGAAATTTTTTGGAAATGTTTAGCTCGGATTTAATGGGAAGGAGAAATTGAGTCTCACTAGCAGTGATTATGAGACTACTGGAAATTGCTGTTTATTTTGCTTTAAAGCGCCGTGATTATCGATTTAAATGGATTTGCTTGATGAAATTCCTAATGCTGTCCAGGTGAGAGAGCATCTCTCACCCCGTGTATAAAGCTATATATAAATCAGGCACTAGAGCCCTGTTTGCTCGAAATTTTACCACCTAGGTACTTGGGTTTCAATAGCAAGATGTAGTTGATTCATTCAAAATGTTACTTCTAGTGATTGTGCTTAGATTCTATAGCGGAAATATCTCTTTTATCGTTCTTGACTATCATGGACGTTACAGTATTAAAAAAAGATGATCATTGCTGAGCGTGAGCGAAACAACCCATACTAACTGCCTGTGCCGCCCACCGGGGGGGGGTATATGGGCGTATACAGGTAGTTTTGCTGAGCGTTAGCTTAATCCACTTTTGGGGTCCATTGTCGTCCCTAAGCGTTCTTAGGCCTAATATATATACCGCTGCAGCTACAATCAGACGCTCCGATTGTCGCTATTATCTTTTAGCAGAGTCCACTGGTAAAATGGTCTTATATAATCACACAGGTCCAGCGGCCTGCCCAGGTGAGTTCCTTTCGGGATTACATATCATATGGATGGGTTGCTTCGCTAACGCTCAGCAATAAGATCCAAGTCTGCGAAGGGGTCTACATTAAACAGCAAAATACATTCCCAAGATGATAATGCCCGGCGGCAGTATGTATTCAGGCATAGTCATCCCCGAAGAGGGCCAACCAAAGAAAAATGAAAAATAAAAATGAAAACAACGAAAAACCAAAACAACAAAACAACAAAAAGTAGAGACAGAAGACTCGTTTTCTTCCTTCATCTCACCTCACTGAGGTCCTCGGAGAGAAGCAAAAACGGCCAAAAAGCCCAGAGGAACGCCACCAAGGACACGACCATCATCTCCTCCTCCACCACCTCCTCCACCCCCGGTTTGTCAAAAAGCTCCGTTTTTATTCATCTCACCTCGCTAAGGGTCTCGGAGAGAAGAAAAGGATAAAACAACAGAGGAACGCCGTCGCCTCGGCATCGCCTCAGCAGGACAAGCCAGCCACCCCAGCCGGCGAGTCAATTGCGAAGGGCTTTTTCAGCCTCTTTCAGCCCGTGCAAGGTGTTGCGCACCGCGGTACTCCCGCTGGACAATTTTGAGATGGCCAGCCTCCTCTTCTTCCTCTTGGGCGGGGTGGGGGTCTGGGGGTTCTGGGGGGTGGCCGGGGTCGTGGGGGTTGCCGGGGTCACGGCAAGCAGACGGCCATCCACATCATCCCCTGCGGGAAGATCCCTGCAGGTCTCCTCGCGCTGCTCGCCCGTACCGACATTGCGGAGGCTATTTTACGATACATTAGCCTGTGTGCATACATAGGCAAAGATCCGTCATCATCGTTTCTATGAGAATCATGGTTTACCACTTACGGGATACCTCAGAACCCTTCTCCTTGGAGGCTAGCCGCCGGCGATGCACACAATGACCACGGCCAACAAGGCCCAAAAGCCTGGCGTGGACACCAACTTTTCACTTATGGACCGAGAGGTCCCGGAAGCAGAGAGAGAAGGCGAGGACTGGGGGGTGGGAGGGAGCGGATTCACAATGATACTGATTATGTTTGTAATATTATTCGCCATGGCTTCGATGTTGTGAATACAAATCTACGCTAAAGGGGGGGGGGGGGGGGGGGGGGTGAATACGGTATACCCCCTACGCAACATCGTGCCTGCTTAATTTGTACCAACTACGTCGTAACTACGTCTATAGCTTCCTATTCTACAGAAAAAAAAAAGCTTCTGCAGTTGGGAACCCTAAAAGCGTTTGGAGTAGGTGCCGAGAAGGTACCCTTAACAAGTGAGAGTTAGTAAAGTAAGTGTTATCAAAAATTGAGAGAAGTCAAAATGTAAGAGTTGTCAATGAGTAAGAGAAAAGTGAGAGAAAAGTGAGAGAAAAGTGAGAGAAAAGTGAGAGACTGAAGGCGAGATAGTGAAACGCCACGCTATGGTCAAAATCGATATAGTAGATTATAAGTTTACTACAATTCTTGAGTTTTTCCCGCTTAGGTTCTAAGAATTCCTGAAGATATCAATATTACGAGTCGTTTATGTGAGAGGATTCTAAGGGAGATTTCAACCCAGCGTTTAATGTTAGCTGGGATTGTTATATTCGTTTCGATCGAGCTAGATATGGTTAGCGTGGTTGGTAATTGGGACAGAGAAGATGTTTGAAATAGTAATGTGACGGTTTCTCTACGACCGTTGGTGAAACAATAAAAGAGTTAATTTTTGATAAGTATAATATCCAGCGAATAACTATTGAGGAACAATCTAAAAACCCTATCTTAGAGCCCCTGCAAACGCCATTTTCTATTAGCTAGTTCCTGAAGAGTCTCTCTATCTAGAATAACGTCGGTCTCATTTCCAGTTGGTTGCCGTAGGAAAACAGAGTTAAAGGGAGTGGTCAGAGAGTCATTGGTTAATTCCATTTGTCCATCGATCTTTGAGACTTCGATCTGCTGAGTGCTTTGAACTACTCTATTAATACGCTCCTATCGATCAATGATAAGCCGGGGACGCTTCCTGTCGAGCTTGATTATGACTGTTGTGTTGGCATTGCCTTTGGCTAGGTGCAGCCACCACTTGACGTCCCGCCGGAACTTTATGTGAGACTCGGAAACTCCTACCTCTAGGGTCACTATAGGCTGTTCGGGAAAGTGTTGAGGGACTAGAAGAGGTCCTTAGCCTTGATCTCCTTCTTTGCCACTGCCGTCTTCCCTGATTGTAGCCCCGCCGTAAAAGCGAACGTAGGCTGCAAGACCTATCTGAGTAATAACGCGGGTCAGTGCCAGATTGATAAACTGACCGATGTTAGAGTGGATTATTGTGACCATCTTGACAAGCAGAAGGTTTGCTTCGAGATCGAAGGAATAGCGGTTGGGGCGCGGCAGCATAGAAGAACCAAGGATATTGGATTGGGTTGAAAGGCTGGGGATATAGAAGAGGACGCAATCACTGGGAAGCTCGCCGTCTGTAATCTTGTCTGTTTGATCGTGCGAGTCGCTCGGCTGGTGGACAGAAATGAAGTTGGGTGATTCGTTCTTTAGGGAGGAACGTGTGCTTCGACGTGAATATGCCTGCTGTTTATTCCCCCTTTGGATGTCACGAGACGACAGGGAATCGCTCTTAATTCCTGGATGGTCGGCTTTCTCCTGAGGGGCAGTTAGTCGCCGGGGTTGAGAAATAAGGGACTTTTCAAGCCGGCGGAGCTTAATAGAGATGGAGAAGAGTTCAAGATGATTGATTGATTCGGGGAAAACAAGGAGAGAGAGGAAGAGAAGCTATCTGCTGGCAGTCCTGACAAACGGGGTCACATCAGGTGATCACAACAGAGCTCTATATCCATAATCATGGTATGAAACTGTATTGGCAGTGCTAACTACTGAAGAAGAAGGGGAAAGAAGAAGAGGAAGAGGAGACTATCTGGCTGGTAGTTCTGCTAAACATGGTTCGTTGACACTGATCCCAACAGATATATACGAGGTACCTTGGGGCTTTGCAACTACCCTTATGCTCGGGAATATGTCTAGTCTCTCCGAATTGTCAAACAAAGTTCTGGTACTATGAGCTTTGTAGGATTTGGAGCAAGTGCTTTTGCGATATAGAAGAAACTAAGGAACATAAGAGTAAGCCGCTTCACTTCTCCCTTACGTTTCGTTATTGAAAATCTTTTCTCAATCGTCCATCAGTATGCTAGCCGCTTACTTGTATGAACAGAGTAAATAATCCTTTGGTCTAGTTATTTTGTAGGGGCAATAGTCCCATTATGAAATTAGAAGAGTATATAAATAACCCAACCAAGGACGATGGGCTGCCGTTTCTTTCACCATTGTCTTTGCTGAGTCACAACTTTAGTTGGTAGGCAAACATTTGCTTTTGTTTGTTGAAATAAGTATTGTGAAAATCGGTCTGTTATTTTTATTTTTTCTCAAAGGTCCGCCTAAGTAGTTAACGAAATAAATGTCCAGCCCAGAGAAATGTTGTTGAGTTGGTAATAGTATCCGTCAAATGTATTGTTCTTTTGTTTTGTTATCCGTGTGTAAATCCCAATAACACGCAAGTATAGTGCTTTACTTATAGGGTTTCTCTGTAAATATCCTTTAATAATCAAGCAAATTATCTATGAATAGAAGAACAGTTCATATATTTTCTAGTGTGCATGGACCGGGATCGTCCAGTAAAAATCTGACATTTTTCCTCTATAAACCAGTAACCAGTTGCGCCTATAGGCAAAAAGACAAATTTCCTGGCCACGACGCCAAGTTGAAAAAATCTAACTAAGAGCATGACCGCGGCCTTATGCATAAGAGCGGGCATTTTGAGGATGGTTGTATGAGAAATGAAGTTGCAGGTCACCAATGAATGCATAGGAAGATGGAACTTGAAAGTTGTCACTACGGGATCGAGGTCGCATGTGTGAAGGATGTGCGTGGAAGCGGGTGATGAGTGTGGGGAATGGCTTGGGGGAGGCTTTAAGAGAATGCTTCTACGTGCTGGAGTTGTGACTGATGAATTAACATCCAGCCTCGGGAAGCCCTCTCCACTCCTTTTCAAAGTGTCTCCTGGTGCACTCGAGAATCGGTATTGGCAAGTTGTCTAGCTTATCTGCGGATAGTTTCCCGCTCGTACCCAGTGTGTGGTACAATTCGCAATGGCACATGTTTCGCATACCGGTTTAACGTTCCAAGATTAACTACAACGAATCTTGCCTAAGCCATTAGCAACATCGCTGAGGCAAGGAGTGGGTTTTATTTGCCGTCTTCTGGCTGTATACGTCACCAGCCTATGTTATTTCTCTTCATAATATTTTAAACACTACTAACGAATCATTATATTGCAAGAACAGTTGGCCGCTTATACTTGTCATGTCTTTTGGGTGGCATTTTTAGATCTTCTTTTTAGATGTCTTAAGTACACAAATCTCTTTAGTTTATACATGCGCATGAGTAATTAGCCAAGATTATTCTAAATGGATATACGGAGTACCTTGGTACCTGAGTACGACACGCTTTAGATGATTGGTGCAGCAGCCTGATCGACGGGCTTGGCGGGTTGTCGTTACCGGCCGAGGCGCAGACTTCTTGGTCGTGCCAAGACCAGAGTCTTGGCTGCAGATCGGAAACTGCTACTCTTTCTTCCTCCAATCAGACCTAGGGCATTCGTCAACAGACCAAGAATAGTCTAATATATTTTAACCTGTACTATTTAGGTCATGGATTTACTGCAACTGCTGACGACGACCATGACGAGTATTTATCTGGTGCTATCAACTTTTGGAACTGTAAATTATTGTACACTAGCTCGAGTATGAGGAGGAAGAACTATAAATTGAGATGTCTATCCTGACATCTTGTTGTATATTACCAATAAATTCAGACTTAATTCCTCCTGTCTTCTATATCCACCTCAAATCCTCACGATGCAATTCGGAAAGCTAGCTCTCCTTGCCATGGCCGGATTGGCCATTGGCCACCCCGGCGTCCATGAGCCCACCTCGTACAACGCCTTGTCGAAGAAGTCATTCCTTCACAATGCCAAGCGCAGTTTGAACCTGTGCGCGGATCATCTGGAGCGTCGGGGAGTCAACGCCCGTGCCAAAGCTCGCCGTGCCGTAACTGTTGCGAAATATCGTAAGCGAGGCAGGGTTGCCCGTGACACCGACAAGGTGGTGAACACCTCCCACCATTCCTCCCTCAATGTTACCCCGAACACCTCCGAGTATGAGCTGTTCGCCAAAAACCCTGTCTGCATCCTTGCTCCTGAAGGAGAGATCGGACCTTTCTGGGTGAAGGGTGAGCTCGTCCGCTCTGATGTTCGGGACGGCGAGGATGGAATCCCTATCATTCTTGATGGACAATTCATCGATATCAACACCTGCGAACCAATCCAGGATCTCTACTGGGATGTCTGGAACTGCAACTCCACCGGTGTCTACTCTGGTGTTCAGAGTAGCATGAACGGTAACGGCAACGATGCCACCAACCTCGACAAGACCTCCCTGCGCGGTATCCAGAAGACGGATGCCGATGGCGTGGCGCAGTTCAAGTCAATCTTCCCCGGTCACTACGATGGCCGCGCTACTCACGTCCATGTCATCGCCCACGTTGGTGCCCAGGAGCAGGCAAACAAGACCCTTTCCGGTGGTCACGTTGCTCACATTGGTCAATTATTCTTTGACCAGGACTTGATCACCCAGGTTGAGAACACCTACCCGTACAACACTAACACCGTTTCTATTACCGAGAACGCGGATGACCACGTCGTCATTGTTGAGACTGAGGACAGCAACTCTGATCCCTTCTTCGAATACGCTCTGCTTGGTGAGACGGTCGAGGATGGTCTCTTTGCATGGATTACCCTGGGGGTCAATGTATCTGCCAGCTATGAGACTTCCAATGCTGCTACTCTTACTTCTTCTGGAGGTGTCAGCGAGTGAGACTCGGACATCACATTCTGGCTTGTCCTTGGACTAGGTGCTTACCACACTTGGGCTAGTTAAAAGAACATGGATTTCGCTCACGGTGTGGTGGGATACAAAAAAGATGTGATTTTCTCTCCTCTCTCTTGTGGCTCCTGTACTCTATTCTGTATCCAGAAGCTATTCCTTTAATCACATTCATATAGTCAAGTACTATATCCACAATATCAATATATCACTTTCAGTTGACTTCAAGCTAGTATGAAGTAATAGACGTAGCTTCACTGATTATCTTCATTCTCGTGTTCTTGTGCCATTTAGCTGTACGGAGTCAATGTAAGTGAACTTGCCTTCATCGGATAGACCTTGTCGGAGTGGGTTATATTGGTATCGCCGGACACTGTCTCCACAACCCACATTCTGGTTTGCATTGCTCAATCGCCCGCATCTCTCCATCTGCACTTCTCCGTCCGTTCATCTACCGGCATCTTCAACCTCGTCAACCTCGTATTACCCATGCTCGCCGTCTCCCCGAATTCCCACGAGTTTTGTGAAGTCCACAAGTGTGAACAGCTCGTCTTCGTGCATTTACCATGGCATGCTCCATGCCCTCCTCTTCTTCATCGTCCCCGTTATTGATGTTCCCTGACGAGCTCGCTGCTTGGATAAGTGAAATTGGTGCCGAGGGGAGCAGACCCGGAAGTTTTCTCTTTGTGTTGTGCTCCCTTGGACTCCCTCTATCTCTGTATCCTGGTTTGCTTGATTTCGAGGTGTTGTTGTTGTTGTTGTTTATGATCGTGTACTGCCCTCGCCGCACAGTCGCGGTTGTACCAAGTCTCGCGGATATTTTGCAGCCGCCCAGTTCGCCGAACATATCTGTCAGCAACTCTTCGAACGCCGGGCATTCGATTGCAAATTTATCTCAGTAAGCCCACCCTCTTGATCTTTACCAGATACAAACGGAATACAATGATACTCATCCGCGTCTATATCATGAGCGAAGCTGTGGTCTCTCTCTGACCTTTCAATTACGAAAATATCTAATTACCTAGTAATTCGATCAGGTTTTTCGATTTCCTCCTCGATTCCCTCCATGCCGTCTTCGTCCATTCGTTCTCCCCGGTGTCCGATACCAGCCTTTCTGGATCAGCTGCAGCGCCATTTCGCATACCCGACCTCGGCTACATACACGATGGGCATGCCATTGTCGCCCATCCGGCACCCTCTTTCGACACTCAACTTGTCCATCACAGCTGCAGCGCCGCAGCGCCCGGTGCATCTACTTCCGTCAGTGAATATGCGGGGGATGCCCTATTCTCTCGCATTGTCCTACGTTGTCCTCGCCGCTTCACGGTCTTCGGAACACACTCCTGATGGTGCAGACTGTGGTACCTGGATAAATTCTTGTCGGTTTTCCTACCCACCTGGTAGCACAGCATCCCGGGAAATTTATAGGCATCCACCCTTCTTTCATACCTGCGCCTCTATTGGTGTCCATACTCCTTCTGACCGGTCGGCTGTGTTTTGAGAGATGATCAGAAGCACTACCTTTTACCGAGATGCAGGTAGAGATGTAGAAATATTGTAAGCTTATTGCTTAGTACCTAGGGTTTGGCCAAATTGTCTCTCCCCTAGCTCGGTCTCTTCCTTTCTCTTTTCGTTTCTTCTATAGCTTCCATATACTCAATACATTCTGCATCTTCGTGCCCTTTATGGTCTCCGAGTAGTGCCCAAAGAGGTTATGAGCCCGAGTTTGTGCATTCGTGTCACTTTGCAATTGTGGTACACCACCCTCGACGCATTTTCTCCGCACATCTCGCTGTCACCACCCCAATTATGCAAGGACGAAACCAGCATGCTGCTCAGTCGTCCTCATCCGCAAGTCCTATCCACGGAGCAGGCCGCGCGCCTTCCTTCCTCCATTACTGTGGCGAGTTTCGACCGATCCTGGTCGACGGAGAAAACCACGTATCTTCTTCACTTTCGCGAGTTTCAATCAATCCTCATCGACGATACACAACGAGCTCACTTTCACGAGCCTTAACTGATTCTCATTGGGAGATCAAATTGCGATTTCTCGCTAGCTCAAAACCGCAATTTCACGCACAACCACCGGCCCTTCCATCGACTCCGTCGTCATCATACCATCGACATCACCGGCCAGGTCACCCCAACAAACGGTGTCACCAACCTCCATACAAACAATCTCAACATACCCTAACCGAGGGCTTCTCTCGCACGGAGTTTTCATCCACCACAAGTGCCTTCCCTTCGACGCATGTCTCAATCTGCTAACCACGCGGTCAGTACCTCTCCATTCGACGTATAGCTTTGCCAAGTGCCTCTCCATTCGACGCACCTTACCTACATCAAGTGCCTCTCCTACGACACACCTCTCTATCCGCTAGCCACGCGGTCAGTACCTTCCCATTCGACGCACCTTACCATTCAACATATTTCCAGTTTCAACTGCTACTACCCACAAGCCCACTACATCCAATACCGCTATTGGTAGCCCTCTAATTCGCTACAACAAACAACTAGGTTTGCTTATCGTGGGGGACACAATTCCATCATTCCATGTTCATGGGGGGTGTCGCATTTCTTAGTCTCCATAGCTTAACAATCAATCGCGTATCTCACATTGCACCATGCAGTTCGATGTAGTCCTTTCTAACAGATGCTTTAGACATAAAGATGCCTGGCCATCAAGAGGTTGGCAAGGGATAAAAACCAATGAGTAATAATGTCGTATTGCGTATAAATCTCAGTGAATTCGGGTGTGCTATGTGATCGATGAAGCGATATCCGTACATTTTACTGACGCGTCACTCCGAACCGGCTTGAATTAACAATCGGTTTGCAGCATCAGTAATACCACAAGCAAGGGAGCCGTCTTAACAGAATCGAGCAGCTCAGTCCAACTGACAAGGGGTTTTTTTTGTACATCGCTAAAGGGGTTGTCCGGGGTACATATAGACACCTAATAATCGAGTCCGTAATAGCGAGCTACATCGGGTTAATGAGATCATCATCATCATAATGCTCGAGCCCACTCGCGAGTTTTAGCAACCTACGATTTATGACACCACAAACTATCCAGATGTATCATTAACTTCCATTAGTACGGCTAGTGGCTCACATACAGCAACTTCATAGGAACCCCCGAGGTCTGTGCTTAGGCGGGCATCCGATGCCAAGGACGCACTGCATGATACAAGGGTCGTGCTTGTACGCCATACCGAACACGGTCTAGCGTATAACCCTAATGATCTATAGATCTTGCTGCGGCTCAATGACCTGTATCTTCAGTCGACAACATGATGCATTTCTATGAGACGTAGCTAGACGAAATCAAAGCTGGGACACAATCAAAGTACCTGGATCGATGTGTGAGGGTGGCAATGGTATTATCTAGTGGCATAAGCCTGGAGAGTGTAGACACCATCGCATCTTCTTTTTACGTCTTTAGAGACTACACTGCTGCCTCAATACTCATGGGAGGTGGGGTGAGTAAATCGTTGAAGAGGGGAAGTTGAGAAATGGGAGGTCCCCTGAAGGACACCCCAGACACAAACGTACTTCCCAACCGCTTCCTGACCCTTGGGGTATAAATACCCCCTCCTCCCTCCTCCCCCTCTCTCTCCTTTTTCTTTCTTCCTTCTTCATCTCCCCAACTCCTCATACCATCCACCACAAACAATTCATCAAATATTTTATTCACCCTTCATCTCCCATCAAGTCTTCCATCATCAGCCTGAGCCTCATGACTTCTTCCATCTTTCTACTTCCACATCCGATGAGATGGACCCTGTCATCACCATGCCCTTGACGCACTGGCCTTTGTCACGTCAACATTATATTACATGACTGGTTAGTTGTTCCATCCTTGTTCCGTCCACTTCCATTTTCCGTTGCCTTTCCTTACTTACATTCACTCTTCAGACAACTCAACCACATAACATGTCCCTTCAACATGTCTCGCACCTGTCACGTCAACATTCATCACATGACTGGTTAGTTGTTCCATCCTTGTTCCGTCCACTTTTATCTTCCGTTGCCTTTCCGTACTTACACTCACCCTTCAGACAACTCAACCGCATTGTCTTCTTCTTCCACCTTGTACTCCAGACATGCGTGCTCAACCACATCAACCCCACAATATGCATCCAACCAGGTCCAGTGAAACCACATCCAACTCAGTCACATCCGGCCTTCCAGAGATGGTCTTCAACTTCGAAACAAGCAGCCGGCTTAGATCGGCAGCAAAGGCAAAAGGAAAAAGAAAAGGAAAAAGAAAAAGAAAAGGAACAGGAACAGGAAATAGAAAAAAAAAGAAAAAGGAAAAGGAAAACAAAGAAAAGAAAACGAAAAAGAAAAAAAGAAAAAAGAGTTCTGAACGATTCCAAGCATCCTCATTCAACCATCCAAACAACCAACAACCATCCACACAACCATCAGCCATCCACACAACCAACAACCATCCAATTCAATCAACAACTTCCAGTCTGACCGTGGCGGGCTTCGGCTTCAGGACAATCGGCAGACTGGTCAACCATCTACTTCGATCACCCCTCTACTTCGAACAACCACAACTAGTCTGACTGTGGCGGGCTTCGGCTTCAGGACAATCAGCAGACTAGTCAACTATCCAATCAACCATCCAATCAACCATCCACTTCGATCACCTCTCCATTTCGAACAACCACAATCAGTCTGACCGTGGCGGGCTTTGGCTTCAGGACAATCGGCAGACTGGTAAACCATCTACTTTGACCGTCCATATCAAAGCACCTACAATGCAAAACGTTAAAAGAGGGGAAAGAAAAGAAGTGGCCTTGAACGACAAGAGTCTCCGCAGGAATGTCTCTAAAGGAAAGAAGGAGACTTCTCGTCAGGAAGAGGTTACAGCGTGTACCCAATGAAAAGGAGACTCTCAAGGCTGTTTGCTATGGTGGTAAAAAAAGAGGTTGTTGCTCGAGATCACCGCTTGATCACCTTCAGTTAGCCACTTCACTCAACTATCCACTTCAATTAATCATCCACGTTCAGCCACCTACAATGCTTCCCCTTTCAACATATCCTTGCTCAATTCATAAAATTTCATGCCCCAGCCCGTTGTGTAGCATACGTGGTCCTTTCTGTAGGCATAATCTAGAATTGAAAAGTAAACTTGAGTAGAATCAATAAATGAATCAATCCAAAACAAATTAATACAAGTCCAGGAAAACAATATATCGACCTTGACGCTTAGATGTCGCGTTAAGCCACATCTGTAAAGACGTTGTACTTTAAACACATACGGAAACACTACCGTCACCCAGACTTATCCCATCTCGTGGTCATTCAACCGTCAGAAGGCATTTACCGTGACTCAAATTGCTGTGTACCTCTCTGTGTCGCGTCAATGATGGGCATGGAAGACATTAAGGTTCTGCTCGATCATGGAGCAGATCCAAATCTCCCTGGTCCAAGTGGAAATATGACACTAGGACGTGCGGCAAAATTTGGCTACGAGGGGATAGTCCGACTTCTCCTGGACCGGGGTGCCCATATAAACAGTATAGACTCTGAAGTCGACATAAACTCGGATCCAAGCTCTACCTCAACCAACTCCTCATAGTAATCCCCTTATAGAATATCAAAAACTTCAAAGGTTAGCAGAACCAAGCACAGAAGGGAATGCCTCTTCACTATACATTATTTCCTCGGTTTTATATGAAGACTAGGATACTTTGAAGGCTGCTTTTAATGGAAGCCAACGTATTAAGGCTTCGATTTGTCAGCCATTCGTTTATAAACAACTACACGTTTTTTATTCTGTGTTTTCAGTCTCTTGCTAAACTTTTATTCCTTCTCACTTCACAGCTTCGCTGTTGCATTACAGGTTATTTGACCATAAGATACTCTACTCTTTCGACCATGATTTTAGCGCCTCGTCTGTGTAGCCCAGTTCAAAGTGAACTCTCAGGCTCTCTTTTCGGACTATACGCCGTCCCCGCAACCTGCCCAACACCCTCCACGTGACGTAACCACCCAACCCGATCCTTCGTAAACTGCTCAATCCTCGGCCTCAATTTAGTCTCATGTAAGTTGAAATCATCCACTGTTCCAAGACGAAGAATACTATGTCCCGGGAATGCCTCGCCGACGCGATACATGAGCGAGCCACAAGTTGAACAGAAGAAGATGGTCATTTTCTTGCCGGAACCGATTGTCCCAGACTGACCGTAGGATGTGAGATTCTCGCGACCGCGTAGGTGTCTCAGATGGGAGTCTGCAATTATGAAATTGGAGGCGAACATCGAGGCGGTGATTTTGCGGCAGTCTGTACAGTGGCAGAGGAATGTGTCAATTAGGCCGGGACCTTCGGTTGGCTATAGTTTGCCGTTAGTATTGGTGGAGTGTGATTCTTAGTATTGAGGTATGTGCTACACTCACGAAAGCAAGTTGTATGGCGCCGCAGTAGCATGTAGCTGTCGCTTGCTGCCCTTCAGACCAACCGTCATTTGCGCCGCCGGCTAGGGGGATGTAGGGTTTGGATTTATCGGTAGACATATTGTTTGGAAATATCGTATATTTATGAGGCTATAGTGAGCAACTACTGGAGATAATCGCAGCATTTAAAGCACCATCTTGGATGACAAATCTTACATATTATAAATCATGTGCTGGTGACGAATCCAAAACCCCGCAAGTATTTCCGACATTACAAACCATCAAGCATAGATACTAGTCAATAGGAACGGAAAATGGGTTTATATTGTATTTTTAAATAAATAAAGTATCAAGGTAGGTTAATAATAATTCATGAATGAATTTCCGGCAGGTCTTTTTATCTTGGGTTCAATCTATCATATGAAGTCACCTGAGCAATAAAACCCCTGTGCATTGAAAATAGTCCTTTCCCGTTTTCTATTAGAAAGGAAATATATATACTGAAGGTAGACGAAATCGACAATAGGAAGTGAAGCTGCAATTTCAAGTTGGAAAGCCGGTTACATGACATATTGAGCTCGGTGTCACGATGATCCTGTCAACGCTCTGTTTAAAAGGAATTACGCTCGATTTCAGGAACCAACATTCGGATTATCATTCTATGGACTAAATTTGACATGCCATAGACAGTGAACCATACCTCACGGTTTCACCTACCAACAGGTACGATGACGAGGCTGCGAGGTTGTATGGGGAGTCCTGGTCACGATGAAGCGCATATTTGACAGCATGGAATCCATGGATGTGGTGTGGGTAAGATGGTGACGACTGTGTTTGAATGGTGATGTGCAGCGTTTATCACCGTGTGAAGTGTTGGAAAGTCGATGAGTTCCCAGACCGTCCCCTCAGCCTTCCTGTCTCAAGCGGATAGTCTCAATTCATAACTTCTTTCTTCTTTTACCTTCTTTACATCATATTAGCGACTTCATCCATGCAGTCCACAAGATGGTCTCCACTGTGGAAATGAACCAAATTGCAGTGTTCGTTATGGATTCCCCTTGGTCTTCAAAAGTATATAGATAACATTCTAGAATTTTATCCCCCAACCCCATCCTTTGCAAATGCCACGAGATATAAAGAACGCAATTGTGGACAAAATATAGAGAACACCCCCAAAGATAATCAGCCCATAGTACTCCCCATTATTGTGTTGCTGAATAGCGCCTGCAATAGGGATAGCGATGAGGGTACCAAAGCTGACTATAGTCCATGTAGTTCCAACTCTTTTCCCATAGTCTTGGATTTCACAGACCTGAGAAATGCAAACTGGTGCAATACTAATAGCCGAACCACTCCAGAAGCCGAACAGCACCGCATAGCTAATGACAATCCCTAATTTGTCGGGGTCTATTAGATCCCCCGAAAGCCAAAGGACGAGAGTGAGTAGGGAACACATAAAGCAACTCATGATCATGACGTTAAATCGACCTAACCGATCAGCCACCAGTCCTGGTAGGAAGCGTCCGAACACAGCGCCGAGATTAAGAAAGACAAGAACTGCATATGACAACTGTTCATCGAAGCCGGCATGAAGTGCGTAGGAAGTGATGTAGGTGATTGGAACAAAAACCGCAAATTCAACAAAAAAGACACTCAGCGTCGCAGATGCGTATTTGATATCCTTGAGAGCCTTAAAATCGACGGGCGTGACTGCTTTCTTGGGAGGAAGTCTACTTCGAACGGTGAGACATGCGATTGAGCATGTCACTGCACATACTAGAGCGATTATGCGAATTGCCCACTCGAAGCCGATGAGAGGGGCTGCAAAAAGGATTATCAAGGGAAATATGCAACCCCCAACCCCCCCTGCTGTGCACGCCACTCCGGTTGCCCAGCCACGTCGAACATTAAACCAGTGGCCAACAGCCGCCAATGGAGGTGTGAAAAGTGTGCTAGCTGATATCCCACCCAGAACACTGAATGACAGAAATATCTGATAATATTCTTGTTGGCAGTTAGTATTTGTTTCTTATTTGGGGGTTCGCAGCGAAGGTAGTGCAATAGGGGAGAGACATGAGTAGATATTGGGAACACACCATTACTGAAGCTCAAGAAAATCAATGAAAGTATAATCCCAATAGAACCCGGGAGCACCACGTATAGAGGCCCGTGAGAATCAAGGATTGCACCTGAAGTGGTAGTTAGTTAAGAATGCATTCGATCTGACGGGAAGGTAGTTACCAAATCGGGCACCTCCCAAAAAAAGGAAAAAGGTATAGGTTCCATAAATCCAACCGATACTTGATTCCGAGTAATCCTTGAGTTGGTGGGTGCTTGTCCAGGGTTGCAGAGTACCTAGGCTGTTTAAAAGTCCCATAGAGGGAATCATGGCACACCAAGCCCCAAGAACCACAGACCATGCCTTTAGCCCCCCTTCAGGGTACTGATCATGGTCTGACTCAGGTGAAATTTGAGGCGGGTCGCGCCGTTGGGAGTCGATTTCCTCCTTCATTTCAAGATAGGCAAGGAGGCTTGTCTTTCCCAATGAAGTTGGGAGCAGTCCAAGTATAGATTCTCTGGTTCGTATGATTCACAACATCGAAGTACTTATTCTGAACTAGGTACCCGTTGAATTATTGATCATCAAGAGTTAGAATATTGTCAGGTTCTGATGAGTTTCAATTTCCCCCGAAATCCCAGTTTCTAACAAAAACGGTTATTAGGGAAAAGGACCCACCGAATGCTTTAACCCAAAAGGGAAGTTAGATGTAGTGGGTCTCTATATGTACCTATACGTACCGGATATTCCCTGGCGGGTGGGGCTTTCCTATTTGAGCTGCCGCCGCTTTTATAAGGGTGCTTAGGCCTAGGTTCTCTGGGAACCATAATTCTATATTGGGAGCGACTAAAAGCGTGCATAGGAATCATGCTATGGATCTCACTCGCGAGATAAAAACGGGATCTGAAATGGTAGAGTCAAATGTCTCGAGACACTGGTCATAGAGGCATGATGTTAATGAACGGGATGGTTATTTGGTAGTCGACCGAATGTGTATTGTCAACAATGCTTTCCACGATACCATTACAGTACTGTAGAATAAACCAGCTTGAAAGCTTCCATACGGAGCCCACTTTCACACGAGGTCCTCTTCCATACGTAGCCTTATTCCATACGTAACCTTATTCCATACGCACATGTCGTTCAGATCACGATCGTATCACTGGGGCTGATGCAAGCTGCCAATAGAAACCATGTACCGGTGCAAATTTAATCCGCTAGACCTTCGAAGTTTTCTTCAGTTTAGAGGTATGAGACTCATTTGAGTTCATCCCTAAGAGGGCTACGGCAAGGACCATCGAATAGCGGGCTACTGTGGAGGGCCCACTTCTTCCCCAGCTCAATCGGCCAACGGGATCCATTCTCACCGGGAAACAGGATTGGCTGCCTGCAGCTAACAACGCTTCTCCACTGCAGCTGGTCACCTCGTAGGTTATCTTGAGATTGGTTTTGCCCTAGAATGATTGAATTAGGATGGACGTAGTACGATGAGCAAGCCCATATAACGTATAGCCTACTATTTCGAATGCACCCGTCTTCGCCCGGTCAATTGTAAAGCATGCTTTTCACATGAGCATAAATTGGGCTTTATATCGTGGGGGCATTTGTCCATTGAACATTTTTTGTTCATAACATACAATACGTACGCTATCTTTGCATCTCTGAGGGTTTCGGTGGTGTCTCTGTGACCAATCACGGATAAGGGTGCCTTTGAAATATATATGCCAGCGTGTCAGACACGAGGATGGATTTAAGGAGATGACTTAGAAAGAATCTATCCATTGTAGTGGGGAAATAGGCTCCCCACTACGCATTTATCCCTGCCTCTTCTTCTTTTTCCATATGTTGTTATGTAAGCATTGAGATTATGAGGTTACAAGTAGCAGATAGATACAGATTGAGAATACACACTCCTACACCTCTCTGAATCCACTTCCAGGGCAGTGCAGCTGGGTTCCTTTGTATGCAATGTCGGGTATGAAGCTGAGTTACGAGTGCTGAATCGACCCGTATGCCGTAGAGCATACAGCCTTGAGCGTTCCCCTCTTCACCATCTAACAAAGAGTAAAACGAAGGAAAGATTGATGTATGATCACGGAAGCATTCAGTCCTACCAGCACAATGTAACAACCGAATATTCGCAGCGAAAAGCGCCTTTCCCGTCAATTTGAATACTCAACAGATGAGGCTCACTGATAATAAGCGCCCTGGTCAAGGGGAAGTGGTGTCTGATCTGGCCACAACTTTAGAATTCCTGCTTTTGCCGTCGTAACCTGGGATACGTTGCCGACGAATTGAAGTTGGTATAAAAGATTAATCTGATCAGTCGTCCAACACCTGCACCCAACTCCATTTGCATCGAATTCGTATTTATGACGTCCATATCGAGTAACTTCCCCAAGAACTTGCTGCACTGACAGTCCAGTGGCAACATCGAGAACAAATTGGGCCTGGGCATCGCGAGAGATTTCGTAAGGCAATTCTGAGATGATGAGGTTGGCCTTGGAGCCTCCCCGAAGGACCGAGCTCGGAATAGTGTGGCTTGGCTGACAATCAATTCAAATTGAGCTTGTAGGGGATGTCGAAAGGTGAGGATGCGCTTCACTGGCATAGCCAACATTTGAGCCTGGCGACTGGCAGGCACATAGTGAACAGGCTGAAAAACAGACATAGCTAACGAGGCAAGTCTAAAAAAACAAGTCAGAATGGCCAAACCAACAACGAAATATCGATACAGAACTCAGAGAGTTGGGAGAAATTGTATAGTCTACAAAGAGGATCTTGCTGGCGAGAGAGCACAGATGGATTGTAATGCACCAGAAAGTTAAGGAAAGGCGTCCTTTTAATACCCATAGATCCGAAATCAGGTCCATGTCAATTGTCTAAATAGAACTAGTATAAGTCGTTTCATGAGACGCCCATTGCCTAACCCATCGTATGGGCGTTCGGGGATTGATGCTCCTCAGCCCAGCGTTTAGCCAGGTCGCACTAGATAATCACTTTTGTTTGCCTGGATTTTTATTTTGCTGCGAAATCGATAGTTTCAGCCAATGAGAAATATAAAAAGCCCAACGTTTTCCATTGTGTATCATTAGCGCTTGGGTATGAGAGTGCGGCGCAATACGCTATGCACAAGCATCTGTAACTATCCTGTCTACCATTATTAATCATGTCATTCGCCCAGGGCCGACCAGAGCCATGACAACGGAAGTTCCGTTAGCATGCTTCAGCCCGTAACACGATTGGCTCTCGGTGGCACATTGGCAATTCCGGTAGTCGCACGCACCTGTAGGCAGAAAGCTGTGGGTGATGCCAACAGATGGAAATCTTGACCGGAAAATCTTCTATCCGGCTTTCCTTTATAATCCTGTGCAGCTCTTGAACGGGTCATATGTTTGCAATCATTCCACATTTATTACCGCTTATGTCACAGAAATGGAACTAACCATACGTCCTATAGCCCATGTATGTTATTCATAGTCTGCTGAATACAATTTACTGACATCCCTACGCCAAGCCACAAAGTCGCGACCCTAATACATCTTTCCCACTAGATGGAAAGGATGTTAATTCCGTCACAGATGAGGCTCTAGCAACCCTTCTCACATCCGCCCCTATTCTCCATCAGCTAGGTGGAACGACAGTTGTGCGGCTTTCAGAGACCTTGATCATGAAGGGTGGCGGGAGTGTCATGACCAGTGAAGCGGAAATGCTCCGTCTTATTGCTTCCAGAACCACTATTCGAGCCCCAAGAGTCTATCGCTCATTTCAGGTCAAAGATGATACACAATACTTTGGTACATCTGGATATATTGTGATGGATTTTATCCCAGGTCAACCGCTGAATGAGTGCTGGAACGGCATATCCCGTGATACCCAAGGGAAAATCGCTACGCAGATTGCTGAAATGATCCAAGAGTTGCAGTCTATTGAGCTTTTGCAGCCTGGCCCCGCTAGTGAACAACCATGTCGGGGTCCGTTCTTCACAGATTATAGTGCTGGGCCTTTTAAGGACACTACTGAAATGGAAGCTTGGTTTAACCACAAGCTAGACATCTGCAAGAGCGTCCATCAAGCCCCAATAGACATTCCGCCGTTCCATTTTACCAAGTTTGTCCTTACACACCACGACATTAGTCCTCGAAACCTGATCTTAGGTCAAGATGAACAAGTGTGGTTGATTGACTGGGCATATTCTGGTGCATATCCTCCTGCCTTTGAAAGTGCAGCATTGTCAATCCAGCCATTTTTCACTGATTTCACTAAAGCGGTGTTATCCCTTATTCCACGCTACCCCGAGGAGGAAATGCAACTTGATTCAATTGCATATGGATTAACCACCGCAGCATTGGCCTAAGGGAGGCTTAAATGGAAGCGGACGACACCCGTCACGGCATACTATATTATCCCATCAGGTCAGAAATAGCTGGCTGAAGGAAATTCCGTTTGATAACAATGACATGAAACAATTTCTCAATGCTAAAATTTCTCTTATTCGTTCGCTTCTACTCAAAGAGGAGCGTCTGGATAGCAGAAGAATAGACAGCATCAAATTCTTTTTGAATTAGGGTTGTATTGTGTAGCAATGCTGTAGCGCTAACTAGAGAACCTGAGCTCTACTGATTACAAACCAATAAATTCCCACACTCCCAAAAAGTACTATAGAAAAGAGGTACCTTGTTTGGTGACCCGAAAAGTTCCGGTTTAACCATCAGAGTATACAGTCCCAAAGATTCGGAAGGTCCTGACGTTGAAACCAACCCTTGAAAAACGTTATTTTCGAAATGAAGTACGTTTAATATCCTTTCTATTACATTTATACTACTTCCAAGGTTGGATTTGACCAAACAAGCTATCAATGAAGCCTTGACTAACCGTGATCTCTCCAATCCCAGATCATGATACCGAACGTCTCCCGAATCCTCTTTGATTAGGCTACCCATGTTATAGAAAACTTGTAAGTTTTCCTTCGGAGGTGCATCGCCCGCCGTGCTAACGATAGATGGCAGTGACAATGCAGAGAATGCGTCAAATGTGGAGCTAACACGAAGAACTGCGCAGGTCTTGATCGACATGTCCACAGCTAACATATTCAATTATCTTAACCGCATTATATTAGAACGAACTCTGGATGGAAGTGACAAAGGTTTACGTATGAGCGGTGGGATCAAATGGCTACCCAGGCTACCAGTGAATCCTTTCAAATCCGGCTTAGTTTATGTATATTCTTCCGTATTCATTTTTCTAAGTAGAAAATCGAGACAACAGTTGGAGGTATATCGCATGCTGTTGGTTCAAGGTCTCTGAGCAGTCCAGTTGGGTTGACCAAATTTCTAGAAGTCCGCCCGCCAACTTCCGTCCATCCTTTATCACATAACAAATTCCAGCCCTGGAGGGATATATTATTGAACTTGATATTCCACGTTGACATTCCACGTGGTTGGATTTACCCGGAGCGATGAACTATCCGATGTATAGTGGGTGATGTCCGAGCTTATGTCCTTGAAGGTGCTAGATCGTTCGAAATGCACACCGTAGATGAGATGAGATAGTTATATTTTTTACACAACACAGTATATAAAAAGACAAACGGACGTCCGATATCGCGGAGGGAAAGATGAATCACCAGGGCTTGGCAGCAACCCCACATTACGAATATTTTAGCTCAAATAGGCTTAGCGTTGTCATTCGAAGGGCGTGTCGATGCATTTTGGGGATCCGTTGGGTTTTTCGCTCATCCACTCAAAGAAGCCTTTCCTTTCTCCACTCACTCCGTATGGACTTCGTCGCATGGACTGCTTCTTTTATTGAGTTTGCTCTATACGGGTCCCTAAGAATGTGCTTCGCATGCTTATCGTGAAAGCAAAAAAAAAAAAAAAAAAAAAAAAAAGCCACACGGGGTTTGCCTTTGAGCGGTCCATGCCGAGTCACCGAAAATCTGAACGGCTGAATGGTGCCCACCTCTAGTTCCAAGTTCACGGAGCTCCACCCGAATTGATTATTCGCCCACCTCTCTCTCTACCCCAGACCAACGTTGGAAAGGTACATTCGGCCAGTTTTCGTCTGACCGACTCTTCTCCTGCTTTCCACGGTGCCCTTCATTCTTCTATCATTCTGTTGGTCCTGAAAAGCTGTTCTCTGGGCAGCATTTCCCATTGTAACCATTCACAACATGGAGTATTTTGATTTCGAAGGCGCCTCGTCTGCCCATGGCTCTAATCAACTAGACGACGATGTCGGTTCGATTGATATTGAACTCGACGAAGCCGAAGAACAGGCAGCGAACTTCAACTCGCTGGTTCATGATCAGACATTGGACTTCTCCAATAACCCGGTACCGGAGATGTCCAAAGTGAATGTCTCACAGGCCGTTGACCCCGTCGACCCCGACGGTGTTTACCCCATGTTCCGAGCCCAAGAACCATGCGACTTTTGTGGGCGAATGGGACTGGACTGTTTTGTTGCGAAGCGCGGTAAATTGAACTACGGCTGTACTTGCTGTATCTCTCTTTGGCGTGAATGCAGTTTCACTCATGCCAAAACGCCTGGCAAATTCCTCCAGACATTACATAGCGTGTCAGAGAATGCCCACGTTCCTACAGGTAGCCTGACTGGAAAGAAAGCCCTAAAATCAGTTTCCTACAACACACATCCCAATGACCCAGATTCACGCTCTCAAAAAAGTGGTGCTCGATTCTCGCGCAAGGCAATCAGCATTCTAAAGGGCTGGCTAAGAGATCACAACGAGAACCCTTATCCTACCGAGCAAGATAGAGATGACCTGAAACAATACACCGGTCTAACCCGGACACAAATTACCAATTGGCTTGCCAATGCCAGGCGACGCGGCAAAGTTCGTGCGTCGCCTGGGAGCAGTTCTCCCGTTCCAGGGGCTGTGGACATCCCCATGAAGCAATCCGTCAACACATCCCTCATGACTCCTCTTGAACGTTGGAAGTACTCTCCCCCCGAAAACGAACCGGCTACGATCAGCGATATTACCCGTGCCTTGGCCAATCCTCCATTTGACCCGTCGCGTCCACGCCGGGCCCCATCGGGTCACGTGAGGCCCCGTCGCCCTGGGTCTAGCAACAATGAGTCAAGCCATGCCAGCTCTGAACATAAACTGTGCACCGCCTCTGCCAGTAGTTTTGATTCATCTATTTCCGATCTCTCTTTTGCTTCTGCCTTCTCTCATCGATCCTCTCTTTCCTTTGGGTCAATGGATCGTAAAGAACGTCGTCGCCGCCGCAAGGCCTCAGTACCTGTCAATACCCTGGCCCATTCAAAGGCCAAATCTGCTCGTCCTTTCCAATGTACCTTCTGTACCGACTCCTTCCCTGCTAAGTATGATTGGCAACGACATGAGAAGTCCATGCATCTAATATTGGATAAATGGACCTGCTCCCCCCACGGCGGTGCAATTGAACAGAACGGTATACCTCATTGTGTCTTCTGCTTGGCAGCTAATCCAGACGATGAACACCTAGAAACTCACAACTTGATCAGTTGCCAAGAGAAGACTGTACAGGAGAGAACATTTTACCGGAAGGATCATCTCAACCAGCACCTCCGCCTGATGCACAATGCCAAGTTCCAACCATGCATGGAGAAATGGCAAAGCAGCATTACCGATATCAAATCCCGCTGTGGGTTCTGTGGCTCCATCTTCCAGACTTGGAAAGATCGAGTGGACCATTTGGCCGGTCACTTCAAAAATGGAGCTAGCATGGCTCAATGGCAAGGGGACTGGGGCTTTGACCCGCAGATTCAAGCTCGCGTCGAAAACGCCATTCCGCCGTACATGATTGACTATGAATGGCGGTCCCCTGATCCCTGGGCCACTGAGCAAGCTAAAGGAGATGGTAGCATACTCAGGCTTCCTGTCCCTACGGATATCAATTGTTACAATCGGCTTTCTCGCGAACTCACTACATATATCCATAATCAAAAGGCACAAGGTCTTGTTCCATCAGATCAGATGATACAAGCAGAAGCTCGCCGTGTCATCTATGGATGTGACGATCCTTGGAACCAGACGTGCGCAGATAATGTTGTCTGGCTGGGGGTCCTCAAGCGTGATTGTGGATTACAGACTCAAGTGAACAACGACAGCATCCAATTTGCCGATCTTGGTATGCAGCCCCCATTCGCTATCAATGGCGGCCTCCGGGCTGCACCCCGGGAGATCAATGTGCTAGCGCGAGCAGTATGCCAAGGGGCCCCCATCCACAGCCCCGCCATCTCTAGCCCTAGTATGCGCAGCCACGGCTTTCCTGGCACTGGATTTTCCTCGGCTGGGCCCAGCCGACCGGGGAGTTTATCAGGCAGTTACGCTGGTAGTGCAGGGATGATGTCAGCTGGTCCTGATCCGCCCTTTTCGGCGGATTGGGCTAGTAGTCTTCCGACCACTGCATCTGTGCCGGGAGAAAGCACAGCTGACCCTCTGGTACAAATGGGATTTGATCCAGAATTCCTACAACGACTGAATGACAGCTACGACGAAATCAACCCGGATGATTTGGAAGGCTTGCATCTAGATGGCGCCGATGGTCAAAAGGGCTCCGAACAACAAGGATGGCCAAACAGAAGCTTGCTTAGTCGGCCCATCCCCCCGTCTCGTATGGGTGAGGTGTCTTCAGATCCGGTTGCTGTTTTCAATTCCGAAGTGGGCCACCCTCCTGCGTCGAATACTACCCATGATGATATGCCGGGGTACTTTGGCAATGGCAACTTTTAATGTCTTTGAATGCGATTTACTTGCTGGATGGAGAATCACACATGGCAAAAAAAGTTAGCCTTATAAATTGGTGCAATATTTCTTGTTTCATACCATATAACTTGCATGTTAATAACGTTTTTGACAATACCACGAATTAATTGATTTTCTTTTTCTTTTACTTTTACTTTTCTTCTCTTGTTTTGGATCTTTGTCCAATTCAAGCAGCTTCCACACGTCACTCTTGTGGCGGGTAGTTCAATTTGGAATCCAACTCCTTCCAGCTCCCTTGTATACTCTCCCTCACCTAAGGCTTTCGTTTCATCCTGAAAAATCGTGTACCTTTATTCAGTTATCAGCACGTGGCTCCGTGTTAAATCCGGGATTGAAGTTTCCACCGACCCTTTTTCGATGAAACCTGATTTGTGACTGGTTGACTAACAGTTTGATGACGACTGAGACCGACAGCTCTTTGATCAGACCAGTGATATTAATTTCCACCTGTGTGACATGTAGAGTACCGAGACTCTGAAGTCAGATGCTCCCATGGCCATGGAAACTTTGCACCCAGCATGCACCATTGGCCCCGGGTACACCACCTCAGCAACGTGCCGAAGCTCAAAGGGTCCCCTGTCTTGAACTTGCCTGCTCAGGGCTCAATGCTTAGACATGAGCAGGTGCCAACAACTTCCTCGGGGGTTTATCCCTACAGCACCGCCAAGCTACTTTTCGGACTACCATCTCCGAGATAGGAATGGATATCTTGAACTTTGAGTCCTTCAGTCGCGCGGAGTCGGTCTGCTGTTCCCAATTACCTCCCTTGCTTCAAATGGAAGAATACGAGCTTAGCTGCGAACTAGGCTTCAATACACAAGATCAATATACTGATGCTCGCATGAATTTTTCCTCCCCCTATTCCCCGAATGGTTGGATTGGTTCCCGACGAAAGTATGGACGGGTTATGCGTTTTGTTCCCCTTCTATACGAGCTCGCAAGCAAGAGGCTCCCAGAGAAATCCTGCATCTGACGTGATAGTCCCGCATGAAAACTCCGAGATGCATGTGCTCACGCAATGCTCTATCTCCCCCTAGGTCCACATAAAAGCATTGGAATTCCGTTAAAAGCATAGGATATCAAGAGCGGACAGTTCAATTTGATACAGATTGCGACTCTCTAGTGTCATCTTTAGATATGAAGTTCACTCTAGGAAGCCTGTCCATCTGGCCTCTGTGTCTCGTTCAATGGACATCTGCAGCTACAGTGTTCTTTCCAGTCACCTTGACATGGGGGAACCGAACTGTGGCAGGAGTATCTAGGCCAGTGATTTCGACGAACGGGCAATTTCCTGGCCCCCCGCTGCGGATCAACCATGGTGACAGTGTTGAATTCCTCGTTGATAACCGGTGCCCTTTCAATACCACGATCCACTTCCATGGTATGCCCTTGGATAACTTGATCTGCTTTAGGATAAACATACTAATTTGATATCTTACAGGAATTGAACAGCTTGGAACTCCTTGGTCTGATGGAGTCCCGGGTGTCTCGCAGAGGTCCATCAAACCAAACACTTCGTTCCTGTATAGATGGACAGCAACCGAGTACGGGGCCTATTGGTATCATGCGCATCACCGTGGCTCTCTCGAGGATGGGCTTTACGGACCAATCTATATCACTCCTGCCCCCTCGGTGCAAAAGCCTTTCAGTCTTATCACGACCAATCCCGCTCAGTTGCGGGCTATGATCAACGCGGAGAGCGTGACATATCCCGTCTTGCTTTCGGAATGGCGTGTCCTCACGTCAGAGGAGATATGGGCTGCCGAGTTGGCTTCTGGTACAGACTCATTCTGTGCCAATGCTTTGCTCATTAATGGCAAAGGGTCCATCACCTGCCTGCCACGTGCTGAGATTGATGCCCTGACAACACTCGTTCAGAAAGCCAGCCTGGGTAATGATCTAAGATTGACAGACATGGCGTGAGTAAACCGATCTGTCATGGTCCAGCGACTACTAATCAATAAACTAACTCCATCACCAGATGCTTCCCTCCCAACATCACTGAAACAGTATTTAATTTCCCACACAACTACGCTGCCATCCCCCCAACCATGTTCGAAGGCTGCGTGCCATCCCAAGGTCCGCAAGAAATCTTCACTGTCAACGCCGCCCATCAATACATCAGCTGGGATCTCACCAGCGCAGCTGGCCTGTTAGAACTCACCTTCTCAGTCGACGAGCACGACATGTGGGTCTACGCCATCGACGGACGATACATCCAGCCTCAAAGAGTCAACGCAGTCACCATCCCAAACTCAAACCGCTACTCAGTTCTAATCCCCCTCACTCAACCAGCGGGAGACTACACCGTGCGCATGGTCAGCGCCAGCATAAACCAGATCCTCAACACGACCGCCATAATGCGATACCAAGGCTTGCCCCAGATCACCCGTCCATCCAACCCGTGGATCCAAATCAACAATGAACCCGTCTCAGAGAACACGATCTTTTTAGACGAGTCCAGTGTGGTCCCATTCCCGGCGCTCGCCCCTTCAAACAATATAGCACAAACCTTCTTCCTGCACATCAACCAAGTCGGCGCCGCCTACCGCTGGAGACTCGGTAATACCAGCTACGGCCTCGAGCTCGAGGAAGCACAGCCCTTGCTCTTCAACCAGAACTCCATTCCCAGCGACTTGATCGTCCGAACGAAGAATAATACCTGGATCGACTTGATTCTCCAAACAGATACCATCCTGCAACCCCCGCATCCGATCCACAAACACTCAAATAAACATTTCATCATCGGTCAGGGGAACGGTACTTTCAATTGGAATTCGGTCGCGGAAGCGGTACAGGCCGTTCCCGGGAACTTCAATCTGCAGACGCCGCAGTATCGTGATACCTTCCATACGTTGCCTGCTGTCACGGGTCCGACTTGGACGGCTATTCGGTATCATGTTGTTAATCCCGGTGCGTTCTTGATGCATTGTCATATTCAGGTTCATCAGAGTGGGGGGATGGTTTTGGCGATGTTGGATGGGGTTGACGTTTGGCCTGCTGTGCCACCGGCTTATGCAATTGCTGCCGGGTTTTAGTGGGATTTTGTACGAGATATAAAGGGAGGGTAGAATGGATAAATATCAGTGAAGTATATAGTTTGGACTTCTGAGACCATTTTGGTCTCATGTTTGCTGTGATATTTTGTTGTAGGTTACACGATGTATTGTCAGAGTGTACACGGGATAATAAGGGGGGGATGCCCAATATTTCAGCAACATCTGTACGAATGCACTACCAAAATAAATGAAATTGTAGTTGAGAATATGAGTCCTGTCAAGTAGCTTTGATGAAAGTGCTCTCTGGATTAAAGGATCAGATACTCAGATGTCTGACCGATGACATGTCCGTATCACAAAGTGACCAGTGTATCAAATGGCTGAACGCATGTATTCCACGAGCGCAAGCATCTCGGTGGATAAAAAAAAGGTAAAAGAAAAGAACAAATTCGTCACCCCCCGCTCAGAGAAGATGAGTTTTGATTCCCTCCTCAATCAAAGCTAAGTGAGCCCCAATAACCTCGGTGATCTTCTCTCCGCCCTTGAATAGCATGAACGTAGGCTTCACCCGCACGCCTAGCTCCTGTCCAACATCTTCGACCTTGTCCACATCCACCTGGTAGAATTTGACCTGGGGGTAGACCTTGTTGAATTCTTCAATCTTGGGTGCGATAGCTTTGCAGTGTGAGCACCAATCGGCGTAGCAGTTGAGGAGGACGGGCTCTTCCGAGCCGAGGATCTTCTGTAGGAAGTCGACTTTGCTGTGGTGGGTGTAAGTTTGTGTGTTTGTGTAAGGAAGGACAGGAGGCATACTTGGTGATTTCGGTGACAGACATATTGATGATTGACTTGGTATTGTTTGTAGTAGTTGGTTGTATCTAAATTGATGTGGAAGGGAAGGATATTTTATATACGCAAGGTCCACGGGGTGGGGTGATCTAGATCAGATACTTCATAGTAGGTACTGTGTAATAACCTGATGATGAAAATTCTAAATTTAGTATTCCATCATACTATTTCTGATATGTGTTATATGTTCTGTACTGGTTAATGTATGCTTATCGTGGAGATTTAATATCATGCCATAGGATGTTGTCTGAGAATCTTGCGCCACTTATCGACAGCGTGGGGAGATCGGGTCCACTATGACAAGCTACTAAATTTGTACACAGGTAAACATATTACCCAAACAAGTTATATATAAAGTCATCCTTAACACCAAGAATTCCCTCAAACCAAAACCAAAATAAAATCATAAAATCATAAAATCATAAAATCATAAAAAATAAAAATAAAAATGAGCCTGAAAAACTAGGAATTCATAAAAATCCGTGGGGTGATGTTGTTCCGTCCCGGATTGTATTTAAGGTCAGGCTCGGCTGTGCCCCTCTTCACATTCCCTTTCCTTTCCCCCTCTCTATCTTTCTCTCTCCCCCCATTTCCATCAAAATGTCCAAGCTTTTCATTGGGTAAGACCCAGAGATCTGAATATCTAATGCGCCTGCTGATGGTTTTCTAGCGGTCTTTCCTGGAACACAGACGACAACAGTCTGCGCCAGCGCTTCGAGGAATTCGGCGTTGTCGAGGATGCTGTGAGTTGCTCTGACTTCCAAAACTGATCCTACAGCCTTCTAAGACTTCTATTTTCTTTCCCTAGACCGTCGTCAAGGACCGTGATACCGGCCGCAGCCGTGGTTTCGGTTTCGTCCGCTTCTCTACCGATGACGAGGCTACTGCCGCTATGAACGCCATGAACAACCAGGAGTAAGCAAACTGATTTCTTCAATATCTTACCTCTACTTTCAGCGACTGGTACAACTCGCGCTGGAACCAGTCGCGCATCATCATTGTCTATTCCAGCGCGATGCGAATGCTCTCTCTTCCTCCCATTTGAAAACGTATACTGACAACCATCTTTCTTTTTTCCAGGTTCGACGGTCGCCAGATCCGCGTTGACAAGGCTACTGAGCGCGCTGCCGGTGGCGGTGGTCGCGGCGGCTTCGGTGGCGGCGGTTACCGTGGTGGCGGCAACGGAGGCTACGGTGGCGGCCAAGGTGGCTACGGCGGTGGTCAGGGCGGCTACGGTGGTGGTCAGGGCTACGGTCAGCAGGGTGGCCAGGGCGGTTACGGCGGCGGTTACTAGATGTTCCTGTCACGAAGCTTACGAAGGTCTGGACGTGATTAGCACTTTTTTACGAAGGTTGTGACTTATGCTGGGTTGCCGGATACATTCGCTGGGCCAGTGACATTTGAACCTGCCCCAATACAAAATCGAACTCGTTCAACTAACCTTACCTTTAATCGATAATCAATAATATCGAGCCTTGAAATCAGTCTTCCTTTTTTGGTTCCTGGTCTACAATGTGCGCGACATAACAACGTAGTCTTCAGTCTCAATGACAATTAGGTTACCCCGCATTGTCTTGAGCACAGATCGCTTTCAAGGCTTGATAGACGTAGACACAGGCTATATATGTAAGAACCACATTGTATCTACCCTTAGGTACTGTTCATGCATAATCTAGCGGATCCGATAGTTATCCAATATCTGTCCAATATCTAATCTATTGGAGGTCGATCACTAAGCGAGCGGGAGGACCTGGGGGCAAAGTGGAGATATCAAAGTCTAGGGGCTTGGCATTGTTTCAGGTCAATACAATATTGCATTGTACATACAACAGTTTATGAAAGTGGAAAAGCAGATGAGGGTCGCTAACATAGACATAATCATAAATCTTAACTAACGAGGGGCTATGGCTAAATGATCAAAAGACGCCAAAAATGGACCGGAACATTGTAAAAGTCATAAAAATCCCAAACATTTCGCCTGATATCGTTCCAGTCATGGTCGTAAGGTTGGGGAAGGAAGGTCTACTTTCCCAGCATCAATCTGTTTGTTCATGTTCTTCGCTTCGGTCTTCTTTTTCAACTCGAGTATCAGGCCGTGCAGTCTCCATAGCCACATCCAACAGAGAAGGAGACTCGATGGAGTCTGTGGAGGAAGAAGACTCTGCGGGCATAGTGAGAGATTCAACAGTGTCGTCCAAAAGTACTTCTTCCTCGCTATCAAGTTGGGGCTGCTCGCTGTTTGCACACGTGTCTGAGGAAGAAGGGGGCTCCGCAGACGCAGCAGGGAAGTCCACAGTCTCGTCGAAAGAGTCATGTGCGTTGTCCTCAGATTGAGGTAGTGTGGTCTCGGCAGGCACATCCGACAAAGTAGAAGACTCGGCAGAGTAAGTAGGAGAACGAGAGGACTCTGGATTCACAACAGGAGAGTCCACAGTGTTATCCAAAGCAGTATCCGTGTTGTCCTCAGGCTGAGACTGCGTAGTCTCCATAGGCTCCGCGGGTTCCAAAGGTGCAACGGGAGATTCAATGGGGGCAGCAGCTGAAGAGGAATCTGCTGTTTCTTCCGGTTGAGTCTGAGAATTCTCCAGCAGCTGGGGTGGTGCTGTGGTCTCTGTAGGCTCCACAGGGTGTGTAGGCTCAGCACGGGAATCAGGAGAGTCAACAGTTAGAGACGCAGAATTCACCATCTCAGACATTGGAGTCACCTCACTCTCACTTGCAGCCACAAATTCAGAATTCGGCGAAGAGCCAACTGAGCTCATGATCAGTGGATCGCTCGCAAGAGAGGCAGAAGGAGACAAAGATGGAGACACGCTGATACTCGGCATATCCGGGGACTGCTGCGAAAAAGAACCAAGATCGGAGTATAGCGGGATTTGTTGCTGGCGAGAACCGATAGCAAGGAAAGCCACGAGGACACTGAGAAGGAGTAGGGCAATATTGCGCCTATCGGCCGCCAGAACACGGATATAATTAACGAAGAGAGTCGAAAGAGCAACCTCGTGTTCCTTCTTCTCATGTCTAAGCTCAGGCGCATGGTCGACCCGAGCTACCGCTTCAGGCAAAGCCTGCCTGAAAGTCACCTCATCAGACTTGAAAGACCCCACATCACTGATCATCCGAGCATGGCTCTGCCTAGGCGACTGCAGAATCTCCGGTGGGACCTGCTGCCCACCATCAACATGCGGCGATATCTGCATTTGCATCTGCATCGGCGGAATCTGACTCTGGGCGTGCTCGACAACCGCCATCTGCTCCTCTGCAAGCCTCCTTTCCAGACCGCGGCGCACATCAGAAGGCAACCAAAGCCCAACCTCTACATCAACCTTCTCCATATCTCGCCACGCAGCAGCCCACGCCCCAGCGCGCATTAGCCCGTTCGCGGCAAACACCCGAATCTCCCATTTGCGGTTACTATCTCCGTGTCGCACATGGGTTCCACAATCGGGACACTCATCACCCTGCTCGCCGTCCGTCTCGCTCTCTCCGATATCCGAGAAATCGCCCTCAGAGCCAGAGCCAGAGCTGTGGTCCTCCCGACCCACGAAGTGCCCGTTCTGCAGACGTGGTCGTTGCAGCTCAAGACTCTCCAACAACCGCTCCTCTAACATGTCGTATAGATCCTCCGGGTGTGAGATCAACACGCCCCGATCGCGCAACACGCCCGATCCAACCCGGTCCTGCAGTCGCCGCCAGCGCTTCCAGTATTCCGCCGGTAGCTCATCTTCTAGAATATCCTGGTTTCTGGGGTCCGATGCTCCAGGTACTGGGATGGACGGCGGGAGCAGGCTGCAATGCAGCAGCACGAGAGGAGCCTCCTTCCTGGGCTTTGGTTGTTTCGATGCATTGGGCGAGTAATACGGTGATCGTTTCAGTGGTGAGGGACCAGGTGATCGTGAGCGGAGGCCCTGCCGTCGGCGCGGGGGAGTCAGATACTCGTCATCATCGGCTTCGTCTTCTGTATGCATCTGCATGGCCCTGACGGAACTGGGTTTTCGGAAGGCGGCTTCGCGCTGACGGATAGTGCGGATATTGGCGGGGATATCATTAAAGTCGCCGAAGCTAGCTTCGGACTCTTCTATTCTGTATCCGGTTATCTTTTCGTGGATGTCCATATCTGGCATTTGTTTCATTCTGTCGACTGGGTGGATGAGAACGGATGCTGGGATTGAGGATAGCGATGAGCGACT